TTGGTGTCAGTTTGGGTTATTTTATAGCTTACCCTAATGTTCATTTCTTGGGAAATGTATTGAGCAGAGACATACTTTTTGGTAAGATGTATGGATAGCACCTACTTGCACAGTGCTAGTATGGTGGCATCTTTATCTCTGAAAACACCTGTATTTAAACAAGATCTGAGAGATCCTTGAGCCTTTGGAAACCATATTCTAGTTATTCAGTTGGCATGTATTTCTTTCAAGGGATTAATTTTACTCTGGATACTGATAAGATGTTTTGATAGTAGGATTATCTCAGCCTTTTGGATGAATTATAAATACTCTTGAATCATTATCACAGGAATGAAATCTAGAAGGAAGAAAACTAGTTAAGCAACTGGTACAGATAAATGAGTTGTCAGTTCTGTTTTGTCAGTGCTATTGTTCTCTATAGAACTGTTGGAAACTGGGGAACATAACCATCATCCATTGGAGGAATTCACAGCTTCCCTACCACTGGTGATGGTATTTCTTTTAATTTTAAATTTAGACCTTAACCTGTTTGGGGATGACTGGAAAAATGAAAATCGTGTTCTCTGACAGTGTCTGAATGTCTTTAGAATGTGAGATGTGTGATTACTTGTTCCCAGGGCTACCACTGCTTAAGTGCTTCACCTTGATGTGCTGGGCAATTTGGTTTGATAATACTCTGTCACTATGTTTTACTTAATTCTGATGATCTTGTTTTCCTGTCTTAGTTTCTTGCCATGGTGTATTATGGTGCACGCACATAGCTACCAAAAACATTTTTCTGTCTCACCATTATGATTCTGTCTTCCATGAAAGGGAAGTGAGGCAGTTCAGGAAATTCTAGAGGTTCTTAAGACAACTGTCAGAAAGTCTGAGAAACTGATTCTAGCTATATATATAAATTTTTAGGGCTGCTAACTGGTTTTTGCTAAAGGCAGTACTGCCCTCTAGTGTCCAGAAGGCAATTCCAATTTGTAAATTTCTTGTTTTATGGTTTAGACTCTAGCGGCTCTTAGAAAAATAAATAATCATTGTTTAAGACTTGGTTTAGTTTGTTTGCAGGCATGAAGTCATTGGATCAGTTAACTTGGGATTATACTGGAGTCAAGAATATGTTTACTACCTATCTCTCATATCTAAGGGGTTCTTTTTGATATTACTTTCCTCTGTTTATAAGGAAAGTGTTCCCTATCTTTAAACAATGTAAAACATTGGATCATTGCCAACTTTTAAAATACTAAACCATTATTCTCTTTCCTTCACTTTTGTAACTGATGTGTCATTTTTCATTTCATTCTGGATATGAATCGTAATTTCTTTTGCCTGTGTTTTTTCTTCACAAGCACGCCTTTCATATAATGATAGAGGTAAGATGCATTGATGTTTGTTTTATGGTTGTGGAACTTTCTGTGGATGCATACTAAACATTTTGTTCTTAGATTTTTGTTGCTGTTACTGCTTTACTGTGCATCCTCTGTAACTTATACATTTATGTCATGAAGGGTTCTCCCCCACCCAGCTTTTATTATTAAAACATGATTGATTTGACTTAGTTATGGCTTTTAGTTTTAAGGGACTAACAGTATTTATATTTATTTAAGGTAGGATGTGGAAAAAACTATTTTACTTGATTAGAAGTTAACACTAATGACTCCATTAGTCTCAAAAACCTTGTATTGGTTAATTTTTATAATATGTCATTAGCTTAAATGTCAGCATGTGTTCATTTTTAACAGGGGTCGATTTTCTAATCCAGCCCGTTGTATTTAAATGTGAAATAGATATTTTTAGATAGCTTCATCTTTGGCATCTTTAGTAAATGAACTAGCTACAGGAGTATAACTTTTGATGATATATTGCTATCTGAGGTTTAAGCGTTTAATTAGATTAAAATTCATCCTTCAAATGGAGAACTCAGAATAAGTAAAATGATCAGAGATGACTTTGTAGCTTCCCACCTCTAATAATTTATTCCACTGTTGGTTATAGTAATGATAATTGGGTAGAGGTTTGGGGGCAGGGGATTACTTTTTACAGGTTATCATTTCAGTATGTCTTCTCAACCTGATGTCTTCTGATACCATAATTTTCATATACAAATGAGTAAAGATGAAATGTAACCAGAACCATGTTCTAATGCATATCTTTTTAGTTTTGCAAAATAGCATGGATGTTGTAAGAGAACTGGACATTTAGGGAAGGTTTTAGGAATTCTGAAATCCTTATAGTTGCCTCTCTGCTCCCCATTGGTTTCTCTGTGTAGCCAGGTAAAGCCATATTTTGTGGATGACATCAGAAATTGCTTGTCATTTATGAAATTGGTGTCTACATTTGTCTTCCCAGGGGCTTATATATTTTAAAGGTATACATTTTTATTTTTAGAATCAAGTATTGCTTTTTTTTGTGAGTAAATTACTATAATGATGCCAATTAATTAAAAATCATTTCTAATATTCTTAGATTATAGGATGAGTAAAACTTAGAGATGAATTTAAAGTTTCATTCTAGTAATTTTTTATTTAAAAAGGCTTAGAGATTTTATAATCTGTGCTACAGTTACTCATTTTTGAACCCAGTCCTTTGAGTATTAAAGAATATTATTTAAAATTCCATTGAAAAGCTCATGCCATTACTAAAGGTTTTGAGATTCTACCCCATGAAGACCTTGTAGACCTTTTTCTCACCCTTTCAAAATTGACCAGTATTCTTTTTAATTGAAGCTTTTACGTTTTAAGTCATTTTGACAATAATTTTTTTTCTGGCTGTTACTATACAGTATTGAATAAATTATGGTAAAAGGGTGAACTAAGATTATTTCTTCCTGAAATAATGCTAGCTTAGAAACTTGTTAAACAGAGCCTTGGGAATGTATGGGAACTTGAAGTATATACATTTGGAAAATGCATAATGAACTTTTTTTTCTAAATTTAGATATTGAAAATTATTATGTTTTCTAAAATGTTATACTAAAATCGTAGTTTGAATTGCTAACATATTAATTGTGGATTAAAAAATCTATATCTTATTTTATAGAGTGAATCATATTCGTGTTGTTGGTATCCTTTAGAACAAAGAGTGGGTAATGTGTAGATTAACTATGGAGACATTGCTAGTCAATATACATAAAAGCTATTAAAAATCTTAATATTGAATTTAGCGCTGTATTCCCTCTACCTAGTTATTTTTCCTCTTCAGCTTTCAGCCATTTTCTGCATACTTTAGTTTTTAGTTTTTGGCATCCTCTCTGGTTTGAAACATAACTCTCTACCTTACAAACATTTTCTATTTAGTTTAAGTATGTCTTTATGCAGTTACACAATAACTCTTTGCCCTTGAGGACTGAATGGTTTCCTTTCCTCTAGAAGAGCAGTTTTCAAGCTTTTTTTCCTCCTTTCTCCACATTCATATAAGCAGTTTGCTCCAATCAGTAGAATCTCTCAGACAGAGATGATCACTTGAAGAATGAGGGAGGGAGGGTATAGTTTTTAATACAAATTCTCTAGAGGTTCTTGTGTCCCCTCCACTGAGAATCACATTTGAGAGCCTATCCTTCCTATAAGATTTATATCTGACTTCCTTGACCCGTCACTCTACTAAACAGAAACGTTCTTTCATGTTTTGAATGTGGAAAGGACAAGCAACTTTGTAGACAAAAAAAAAAAAGTCTGAGTTTGAAATGAGTCACAAGAAGTCTTCTGTTTTATCTTACTGTTTAAATAAGAATTCTAAAGCCGTTTTATAAAGATGGTCTCATTTAGAAGAAGAAATTGCATGTTTTTCCTATATAACACCTTGCAATGTTTCTGTTGCTGAGGTTCTTTCTAGTACACAGTACACTTTTAAAACTCCTGAGTGGCACCAGTGAGCGGAGGAGTGATGCCTAAAGAAAGCACTAACTGTCTTTGAGGCATTAGAAGAAGAGAAAAAAGAAAGGCAGAGAGAGATGCATTGATCTGGGATCACATAACATTTCCAAGTGTCTGAGGTGCCACCCAGTGTCATCATATCAGTTGCTTTTGCCACAGAAATTTTAGTTCCTCTTCAAAATACTCATTATGCAGCCCTCCAAACCCTTCTGTTGCTTTTCTCTGGAAGCTTTCCAAAAGGCTTCCTGCGTCTTGCTTTAGTTGCAGATAGGGAACTGAGAGAATGCTTTCAATGAAGGGTTGCATTCTGCTTTGATAGGATTCCCTTGTGATTTGTAGATGCTATATTCCTATTTATATATTATGTTTGCTCTATTTTGAAAAATCTATAGCAGTGCACGTTTCTTTCATATACCATATCCTGTTATCTACTGTGATGACCACTTCTTTTCTGGATTTTTATTTGTACTTCTTTGCCAGTCAGTTCCAGAACACAGATAATTTTTTTATCTCAGATCAAAGGGATGAATTGTTAATATGTTTAAAATTAGAATGAACCAAACAGTTTGGTTAAAGAAATATTTACTTATTTCCTGTGTGTGCTTTGTATTTGATATACCTATCTACAATGTGTTTAAGAATGACTGTGGGTATCTCTGAGATTAATGAAGAAAAAATTTAAACAGTCACTGGAGAAAGTAATAGATCTTAAGGAGAGGTTTTTGCTGATACATAGTCATAATTTGCTGTTTCTGGCACCTTTCAAATCATCCTCCTCGAAGTACACACTGGATGAAACAAATGAAATATTGTTAGGAGTATTCATAGTTAACAGAAAATCTTAGTGGGAAAAATTAGTGAGACTGGATCAGAAAGATTTTAGATCTTTTCTCCTGTGGTACATATAAAGCAATAATGCTGAACGTTATTATGAAAGCTCTTAATTCAGGTTGCCTGCCTTGTGATCACTATAGATAATTAGTAATCTAATTATGGCAAAATTGAAGTTAATGTCATCCATATGTGTTTACTGTTTCTGTCAGTTGACTTTTCAGTATACTCACCTTTTTTCTCATTTCCAGAGTTGATATGTGTCATATTCTGCTTATTTATAGTATTATTATTATTTATCTGTAGGACCCAGGACCACCCCCACCTTCTCCATTACTAGGTTTGAAACCACTGCAGTTATTAGAAGTGAAAGCAAGGGGAAGATTTGGTTGTGTCTGGAAAGCCCAGTTGCTTAATGAATATGTGGCTGTCAAAATATTTCCAATACAGGTATGTTTATTGCAGTTTTGTCATCTTACATATATGTTTTATGGCTAGGTCATCATAACTCAGAAATAGTCTCAAAACAGAAGCCATACGTTCCAAGGTGGTTCTTTGTGATACTGGGGAAAGCAGTTAGCTCTTTTAATGCCTGCCTTTGCATCTGAGAGATTGAATTGTTAGTATAACAATCATTATGTTTGTCTGGAGTGGTGGAATTAAATGAATCCGTAGGAGATCTTTTGCCAATGAAAATTCTATAGAAATGTTAAATAAAGATAAGGATTCCAATAAACAAGTCTAATTGAGTGGTTAAATTTTAATATCCCCCTACATTGTCAGAAAAAGCAAGCAGAAAAACAAAAGAGTAGTATATTTTGTTTTGGAATTGGTATTTGGAGGTATATTACCAGACTTGACTTACTTTCATTCTACTTTGAGTGTTTAATTATTTCAGTTTTTGTTTGATGCATTTTCAGAGGCAATCAAGACTTCAGATAATTGGTTTATTGTTGAATTGTTTTTATTTTAAAGGTTGGCCGGACTTCTCATAAGACTCTGATCTAATGTACCTCTGAGCTATTCTTGTGTTTTGTTTTGTTCTGTTGGTGGTATAGATTTATGATGATTCTGTCTTCCCCGTCTCTTATATACCCTGGCGTCTCATGATATCCTTGGTACTGATGTGTTGGTTGGATTTGGTGTTACAGGCTCTACCACTACACTTAGAGAGTGGATCTTTCTTTTTCCAAAGTTGTCACATAAGCAATTTCTTTGTCTTAATATACCTAGATTTTAAGCTTTTTACCTCCTCTGTTCAGTCTTACCTCCTCTGTTCAGTCTATGAACTGTATTACATAGAGTTTGTGAACTGTATTACATTTTTTTTTGGTAGCTATAAACCACAGTTTAGTTTTCAGAGAGAAAGTGTATTCTATTGTGCCAAGATTCGTAAGTGAGATTAAGGGAAGAAATTATTTCCATGTGTAAGGAAGCATAAGGATCAGAGAAAGGCATTTGGATGATACTAACTTAAGCCCAACAACAGCAACAGCAGTAGCTAACATTTGATTGTATGTTTTTATTGGGTCAGGTAGGGGTGTTTTACATATGTGAGTGCTCACTAATATGTGTACATATATTGCCCACATGTATGTAAAATGCAACATATAATACAACAATTCTATAAGACAGACACTACAATGCCTGTTCTACTTGATGAGGACACTGAAGGATTATGTAACTTGCTAGAGGTTAGTGGGAGAGCCAGGATTTAAGTTTGAACAGTTTGGATGCAGAGGATTTCTAAGGGTTTCTAACCATTATGCTGTGGTACCTCTCACTATTACTGTCTTTTAGCAGTGAAAAGAAACTAATCTTTTATAAGAAGATACTTAGTAGACATGGATCGCTTGCAGGCACAAATGAATATATGGTGTCTTAAATTATTGCATTGCTTATCTATGCCCTTTGCTTTCTCATTGACTTTGCAGGGTATGCTAAACATTTTTTGAAGGATGTTTGATATTATGTTAGTTTTTGAAAAGAAGTTTTCTATTTAGAGGAAGTCATTCTGCCTGAATTTCATCTTTCAAGGAGATTATTCTGAATAGTACCACAAGTAGCTTCACACCGTGATGAAATTACAATGTAATACTTGCAGTAACTTATGTGTTGCCATTGTAAGATACAGAATGCAGCATTTCAGATCAACTTCTGTGTTTGTAAACTAGAAACACAGAAAAGTACGTTTTGAGGGAATGGACAGGGCAGGCATTTCATATAAATTTGTTAACCTATTGTCAGAGCTTTTTTCTTATTACAAAACAGCAAAAATTTTTTAAAATACTTTTTTGTTTTGTTTTGTTTTACTTTGGAACTTATTTGAGTAATCTCTTAGACATGGTTTATTTACCCGTATTCCTTGTGTTCTTACTATTCTTTCTTTTTGACTCTAGGACAAACAGTCATGGCAAAATGAATATGAAGTCTACAGTTTGCCTGGAATGAAGCATGAGAACATATTACAGTTCATTGGTGCAGAAAAACGAGGCACCAGTGTTGATGTGGATCTTTGGCTAATCACAGCATTTCATGAAAAGGTAAAACTATTTAACGTTTTACTTTAGTAAAGTCTGAATTGGCCTGCGTACCTAATGTTGGCTATAAATCCCTCAGAGTTATTTTTCGAGACATGTTATAGTTGATTAATATTTAACCTGAAAATAAAAATCATTCTTGAATAAAAATATTTTAAAAGGTAGTTTATTTTAATAAAAGAGCAAAGATGGCAAATTTTTAACTTAAAACCCTACTCATATAAACCACCCTTTTGTTCCTTATTTCTCGTGCTGTAATTACTCTTACAAACATTTATTTTAGTATAGGTAATGCTTAGTAATTTTCACTTACCATTTACAATTCATTTTGATTACATGAATCATTTTTTTCAGTTTTAATCAGTCTTGCTTAGTGACAAAACCAGAGTCAGGAAATTTATCTCATCTTTGATCTGTCACTAACTTGCAGGGTAATTATCACCAACACATAATTGCTAGTTTTCCTCATTTTTTCTGCTTTTAGAGTCAGTGTGAAAGTACCATTAATGAAGTAGGAAATTATGTTTTTGGTAATTGGTTTCATCATTGTGAAATGTAAGTGGTTCTTTTACTTCTGTTAATTCTTGACCTAAAGGACAACAATAATCTCTAGAAGAATATTCTGTATATTAGTAGTTGTTTTATGTTGTTACTTTGTATTCTGCTAGTCCCATGGTGTAAGAACTCTATAGTCAGGATATTTTAACTTTTAAAATATCTTCTAGAACCTTAGATATTCAGCTAGTGTTTAAAACAAAAAACTTGTCTTATGGATTGGTGGAAATTGACTATTCTTGTAACAAAAGTTTAAAGCTCTGGTATTTCTTTCTGGTCAAATGTTTATTAATGTGAAATGGAAGGAAATTTTAACCATTCCAGAAAGATTGTTTCTTGGATATTATTTTTCCCTGAAAGGAAAGATATGCTGCCTTCCACAACCTCTTATAGGTAAAAAGAAAAGTCTCCTTATATATACGGCCTTTGTCAAGAATGTAAGTTTCTATTTTTCCGTCTTTTTTTAGGGTTCACTGTCAGACTTTCTTAAGGCTAATGTGGTCTCTTGGAATGAACTATGTCATATTGCAGAAACCATGGCTAGAGGATTGGCATATTTACATGAGGATATACCTGGCCTAAAAGATGGCCACAAACCTGCCATATCTCACAGGTAGACTATATTTGTATTGTTTTCCCAGGTAATTGAGTATACATTTACTAAACTTTTAAGCCCGTGGGTAAATTTTAATTTTTCCTTTGTTATTCAGTCATGCTTTACAAGACAGTTGGTTTTCATTTGTTTTTTAAAGTTAACTTTGAGATTGGCCAGGAAGTATTTTGGATAATGTGTATGTTAACATTATTGGTAAAGTTTAATGATCTACTTCATCTCATTTCTGAAAGCATGATTGAAAATAAACTATATTTTCTCAATCTCAAAGGAAAAAGACATTTGTTTTACCTCAAAACATGATATACTTTAAAGATGATTATAAATAGGGATTATTATCCAAGGGCATGTAATGAAGGAGAGACTTTGAATGTCTCCCTTGCTTGTTTTTTGAATGACCTTATTATCTTTACCCTGAGCCAAGGTAGAGGGAGGCATCACTTAAACAGTTGTCCAGTGAAGAAATAGTTCTTAAACCCAACACTTGTCGTGCCCGCAAAAGGAAAAATGATTGCGTGTTAAACATGGAATTCAGTTTGCCATGTATTGTATTTTCTTGAACGTGGGATTCAATTTGTCGTCTTGTGTTCAATTTAAAGATGGTTGTTTGAAAAGTAGGCATTAACTGATTCATGGAACAGATACTTAGCTGAGTGCCACCAGGTGATGTTTTAGGTTGCTGGGAGCCATTATTGTAAGTCAGCCTCTAATTTAAGTTCCGATTTTGCAAACTTTAAATGACGTCTACCTCAGAAATAACTCTTTCTTCTCACTTTCTTACATGCAGTCTATTGGCCTCTTCTTGGATTTTCCCTTGCCCTACCTGGCCACATAGGGAATTAATCCTTAAGAATCCCCAGAGTTATTAAGAAAAGGTCCTGAAAGTCTTTTGAAACTAAGATTGATTGGCTTTTATAGCATTTGGGAGTGTCTACTCATGCTTTCAATATCCCATTCTTGGTCTGTGTATCTGTACGTAAATTTAACCACTAGTCATGGCATAGATGTATTTAATTAGGGTATGGTAATCTCTAGGATGAGCCAGTTGAGACAGGTGTGTAGAAGAGGATATCTTATTGCCTTAAAACTGTTACCCTTTTCAGAACACCAGGATCTAGCTAGAGCAGTGTATGTTTATGGTAAAAAGTTTCTATTTATCCATGCCGTAAGATGCTTTTCTACAACCAGGTGGAAGAATATAAGAACCTCTATAATAAGGGATTATTCTAAAATGTAGGTGTGTACCAATAAACAGAAGGCCTCAATTCAGCTATATTTTAAAAATTTCTTCATTTTGGTTTAAATTTCAGTTTCTATGGGAGTTTGCAAGTAAGAACTCTAAAATATTATCTTAGAAAACAGTAGTTTTATGATTGGTAGGTGGGTGACATAGGTAACATATCTTTTTGACATGGCAAATGTTTATATAACTGCTTTATAGATAGGATTTCTTCTTATTGTCCATGTTATGAATAGGGGTTTGTCACTGTGCTCTTGTGTTAAAGGCTACATGGGGGCTCTGAGCTTTTTCTTTCTCCCTTTCTCTGCATTTCATAATTTTAAGTAACTATTTTTTCATAGTGTACATATTCCCCCTCTTTTCTGCTTTCAATAAAAAATTTAAAAGGTAACTTGTCTAAACGTAATTTGAATACTCTTTTTATTTGTAAGGGACATCAAAAGTAAAAATGTGCTGTTGAAAAACAACCTGACAGCTTGCATTGCTGACTTTGGGTTGGCCTTAAAATTTGAGGCTGGCAAGTCTGCAGGCGATACCCATGGACAGGTAAGGATGATGATTATAAAATATAAGAAGAAATAAACTTGTCCCATATTTTCTTAGAATGGCATGTCAGGACTGAATTAGTCTAAATTTGTTGTGGTGTTTAAATCAGAATCTAACAGTGTTATGTGTTAAAGTTTCTGAGGAAGACATTTTCATATGATGGTAGAGGACTCAGGTGGTTTAGATTAAGCACTTCATAAAACAATAACTTAGACACATGTCATAGGATCGTTTTGAAAAATCGATCAAAGAATAATCCAACACCTTTTAATAGACCTCATTCTTAGGGAATTCTTCGTATGAACGCAGTAGTTTTAGTCTGTTAGTTCTTTCACCATCTTAAGAAGAGTGGAAGAATAATTAGTCACTATCCTTACTACAGTGTATTAAGATTCCCTGTCCATTTTCCCACGCAATAATAGTTTATTGCTTCTTGTTGTTTATGGCTTCATTCATTTCTTTAATCAACTTGATGGCTTTTCTCCAAATTCTCTCCAGAGTTCAGAGCACTTGTAAACCCCTGAATTAGGTAACTCTGACACCTCTGTATGCCTCTATGCCTCTATGTGCACAGAGATCTTAGTAATAGGAACCTCTAGGAAAGCCAGAAGGGAAAAGAATTTTATTCTCAGAAACTTTGAGGCTGGAAAAGATGTTTTCATTCCTACAAGGTCACCTTTCTTTATGTATGTATGTATGTATGTATGTATGTATGTATTTATTTATGTATTTATTTTTGAGATAGAGTCTCGCTCTGTCACCCAGGCTGGAGTGCAGTGGCATGATCTTGGCTCACTGCAGCCTCTGCCTCCCGAGTTCAAGTGATTCTCCTGGCTCAGCTTCCCGAGTAGCTGGGATTACACGCATGCGCCACCATGTCCAGCTAATGTTTGTATTTTTAGTGGAGACAGGGTTTCATCAAGTTGGCCAGACTTGTATTGAGCTCCTGACCTCAAGTGGTCCTCCCACCTTGGCCTCCCAAAGTGCTGGGATTATAGGCATGAGCCACCACGCCCAGCCAAGATCACCTTTTAAATCAGGGAAGCCAGTTCAACCTAAAAGGTGACATTTTCTACAAAGCTAAATGATTCAGGCCTTTGACATTATCATTTCTTCACCTTTCATATCATGTAAATTATTTGACCAACTAATTCTTAGCTTTCTTTTCCCTAGCATATCCTATTGATTCCTGAGGACACATTTTTTTAAGCAGTCATGGCATCACAATTTTTGGCAATATTGACTAACGGTTTAAGAATGTAGTTTGGGGTAATGGTCAGTAGCCATATAGCTCTAGAAAAGTTGACTGCAAATGTATATGGGAATGGAGGCAATTTTGTGGAGAATACTACCAAGGTTGTATAGGAAGCCTGAGGACAAACTTCTAAGCTAATTGAATGATTGACTATCATAAGACTAAATTCTGGGAACATATTCTTAATTTGGTACCTCATAAGCCCTCCTTCCCCTGTTTTTTGAGAAAAAAATTTGTGACTCATTCATGTCATATTTTAACTCCTTCACAATTGGGTTCTATGATTAGTTAAAAATTAATTGCTTACAGTAATGACTCCTCGACTTTAGATTTCATGGACCAGAAAATTTCAAAAATATCTGGAGGGACTTGCATGTTATTGCACATTTTATATAGTACAAAGAACACATATAAAAGAGGTGACATTTTATGTCAACATGGTAAATAAACCATAATCTTGTAATAAAAGAGGTAGGTACTTTGGATGGCATACATTTACCTTTAAGAGAAAAGTAGGTTTTAGGGAAACAGTCACTGATAGCACAATTAAAATAATTATTCAGAGTAGTAAATTTTTTAAAAGTAGAGCCACTTTTCCCTTTAATGTGTTCTCCTTGAATTTTAGTGACCTGTCTTTATTCTTAAAACAATCTCTGTTACATGTATATTTGCATAAATTGCCCAACTTTTAATCTAGAGTAGAGATTATAGCCACCTAAGGATGGACTTTATGGACGTACCAATATCTAGACTGTTCTCTAGTTCTGATATATTGCAAGTATGTTGTGATGTACCCAGCTATCTCACAAATATTTTTAAGCATTCATATATGAATGTTGTCAAGCACCAACCAAAGCTAGCTGTACTAGCTTAGTAACCATAGTTACAGTACTAAGAAATACCAAATTGTTGGGGACAGATATAAATAAAGGACTCCAAGACAGAAGAATTTATGAATAAACAAATACATAGATTTTGTACAGATAGAACTTTGTAATGTCAATGTGTCCTTTACTTAGCTAATTCTTTTTACAACATTAGTTTTTTTTTTTTAATACAGAGAAAAGGCCTCAAGAAAGTTTTTTTTTTTTTTTTTAAAGCTACGTTTCAAACAGTATGCAAAGGTAAAATTGAAAAGTATGCAGCATCCTTCTCCCAGCTGACCATTGGTTCAGTTTCTTGTGATTACATCCAGAAAGGGGAACATAAAAACTTCTAAGTCTGTACCAGCATAATGTCTGTTTGATGTATTCTTTAAGTATACGCAGAAAGGATCTTACTATTTATACGCTATAGTCTGGTATACCTTACCCTGGTAATAGACCACATTTGGTTTTGATTCATCTTACAAAATCATACAGTGTTAGTTCATAAAGTTAATGAATGAGTACTCTTTGCTTTTAACATCTTTTTCAGGTTGGTACCCGGAGGTATATGGCTCCAGAGGTATTAGAGGGTGCTATAAACTTCCAAAGGGATGCATTTTTGAGGATAGATATGTACGCCATGGGATTAGTCCTATGGGAACTGGCTTCTCGCTGTACTGCTGCAGATGGTAAGGGAAAAAATATTTTTAAAAAAGATATATATGCCTACCACACATGTATGAAAAGGGATGATACACTCCAAGGTAATATTTTAAAGTACAGGTTTTTTTTTTTTTAATTGACTCCAAGAGGTGGTAGAGAATTCAGGAGGCAGAGGAGCAGAGTGTGGGGTAGGACAGGAAAGGAATTGCTATGTATTGATCCTTTACTAGCTATGTTACTGGACACTTCACATACCTTAAGGTTATTTCCTAAAAGAGCTTCAGAGACAGTTATTATGCTTTACATATGAGGAAATTGAGATGCAGAGAAATTAAGTAGTTTGCCTACTTTAGCCTCAAACTGGTGAATGATGAAACCTAGATTTGAAACTCTGATCCAGACATAGAGAGAGGTCTGCTTTAAGGTCGTATGGGTCCTGCCCCCCAGGTTAAAGGGTTTCTATTACTTGTTCTTGTTATTGAAGCCCATGTTAAGTCTTACAGATATTTGCTTTTATTTATTTATTTTTCTGGGTAAACTTTCAGACGATATTCCTAGTGTGACAGGACTATAGTGTTTCAAGCACTCTCTCTTTAGTATTCCTTCATAAGGTCTTTACTCTGTCTTCAAGTATGTTGCGGCATTTTTTGTTTTGAATAATATAAGGCAAACTTGCTGACGGCTGAACTCCTAAACAGATGTAAATGAGCTCGATCTGTTTATTAAGTTTTAATTTATAATTGTCTAAAGCCTTCCTGTGATTGTCAAAGACCATAGGAAAATTGTGAATATTTTAAGTTATAACCAACGTAACCTATGTAAAGTTACTAACAATATTTTATTTTCTGAGTACTGTAATAGGTTCTCATTGTAGGGCAGATTGCCACTGGAATATGAAATTCAATATGGGGTACTAGTAAAGGGAATTTAGTAGAGTGCTCAGAAATGGGCACATAGTCTATAGGCATCTTCCGGGATTGAGGGATTGGCTTGGGAGTCAGTGCTAAACTTACGAAAAGTTGAAGCAATTTGGGAATGATTTTAGAAGTCTTTAGGAAGAAGAGTAAGAATTCAGAGTATTTTGACTCAAAATGGAAGAGGAATTACATTTATGATGTGCATTTATGGAAGCAGAAGTAGGTTAGATGGCAGATATTATAGGAAAACATATTTTATAAGAACTTGATTAATATGAACTCTCCATAGCAAATCATTGGATTAAGTAATTTAGGAGACACAAGACCCTGTTCTCAAGTAACATACGGTTTAGTTAGGGCAATAAAGTATATCCTGGACAATTAAATCTAGAGCAAGCTAAGTGTGAGTTGTCTAGCCCATTCCCCGGTACTTAGGTATTCAGTAAATGTTTCTGGATGAGTGCAGTACTTAAGAAATACAAGCATGTGTTTTAGGAGTTTAGGGGAGAAATTGCTTTGTTTATGGGGAAGAGGAGTTATCCGAGAAGTTCTTTTGGAAAAAGAAAAGGCTAGATACTGACTTTTCTTAAATACCATGAAATAATTTCAGAGTCAGGCATTTCTGACTCTTATGTCAGAACCCAACTCTTTAGTCAGAAATTGGGGTAGAGAGGATAGTGTGAGCATTAATTGCTAAAGTAGGTGCTTTCACATTTGTTGATGGTTACTTTTTTGTTAAATGAAGTAGTTCTCAAACTTTAATGTGTCATACCAGATTCTTAGGAATCTTGTTAACATTTAGATTCTGACTCAGTAGGTCTGGGTTGAAGCCTGAGTCTACATTTCTTAAAAACTAAGCTACCAGTTGATGGCAGTGTTGCTGCCTGTAGACCACATGAGTGTTGGTTGAATAGACACCTTAGAATGTCAGTACTCTGTCACTGGAAGTGCTCAAGCAGAGACCAACTGTCCAGCCATAAAGAATTCTTATATTTGAAGAGGGGTAAGTTAGATGACCCCTTTATGATTCATTGTATTCTATCCAGGAGTATTTACTGCATTTCAAGAGCTTCACAAAATTTGTGTTTATGCACACATATAGCTGGTCACTGATATTGCTCAGTGGTGACCTGTGTCTGTCAAAGGAAGGCAATCCAGCAATTAAAACCACAGACTTCAGAGTTATTCAGAGAGTTGGGTTCAATTCCAGCTCTACCATTTAACAGCTGTATGTCTTTGTGCAAATTATGTAACTTTTCTGAGCTGCTTGAAAGGTAAATAGAGGTAGTGCCATCTTAACCCTGTGAAGTAAGTAATATATGTAAAGTTCCTGATCAGGATAGGTGCTCACTGGATATTAGTTATTATTAACTCCTAAATACAGTTTTCTATTTATCTGAGTAGGCCTAAGAAAAAAGGAATTATTTATATTGTTTAATCTTGTCTATGAAGGCACATCCTGACTTGTTGGAACCCCTAGTTGGAGAGCCTGTTTGTGATTTTCTAAAAAATAAACGTACTTTTTGGCAGCTGTTGTGAGGGAGTATAGAGAAGAGGTATGACTCTGAGGTGCATAATTCCTCATGTGGGGCATGCAGGGGGGTTGGATATGCCATAGAATAAGCATGGTTATAATACATTGAACCTAGAGCCTCCAGAGATGGAAGCACCACTGTTAACATTCTGATCTGAACTGTAAGGATTGAGTACCCTAAAGGGATATTATATAACCTTAATTTACAAATACTGATTGTTCCTTATGTCCTCTATGCAGATGGAAATAGGCATCCTTTATACCTAGATAAGAAAACTCCTTATACAATCTTTAAGGAAATTACATGCCAAATTATAGACCTTTTCATTTCTCATATGTTTGGTCACACTATGGTATAAGTACAGTTGAGAATCTGTTTCTCTTCTGTCCTCATAGCATGTAAACAGTTGGGAAAAGGTGACAGAGTATATTTTAGAAAGTTTTTACCAGTTTGAAAGTCAGGAGGATTTTAATGAAAATGATTTATTTTTCTTTTCTTACTTTTCAGGACCTGTAGATGAATACATGTTGCCATTTGAGGAGGAAATTGGCCAGCATCCATCTCTTGAAGACATGCAGGAAGTTGTTGTGCATAAAAAAAAGAGGCCTGTTTTAAGAGATTATTGGCAGAAACATGCTGTAAGTTATCCAGTTAGCTTTTCATTTGAAATTCCAATAAAACACTTTTCAGAGGAATTATTTATCTCCGCACATTTCTCTTTCTTCAAGTATTTTCTGGGAGGTGATCTTCACACAGGATATTCTAGAGTTCTGGATGCAGAATTAGGGCTATGTCTGTATACCCCTGAAGGTGATTGTAAACTTACAGAGCTTTAGAGGGCTTTTGTCTCAATGGTCCTGCACAGAAGAGTGTGTCATCTAGTTTCCCAGGGAAAAGGCATGCCAGACTCGGAACCTGTGGATAGTTGGATAACTTTGCTGGTGACCACTTCCAATATGATAACATTTTAGAAAGTGTATGAAGCACCAGGTTTTTTCCTCTCTATGGGAGTTTGTTGTAGCCTTTTGATTTCAGCTTAGAGAAGACTTTCAAGTCTTAAGAGTGCTTTAAAACTAGAGACCAGGCACACAGCAGTATTGCCTGGTTATTTTGGTCTAAATACAACTAGAAACATGGCTAAAACCAGGCAGATGCATCTCAAAAGGGGCTTTCTGCTCTTCTGTTTAATTGTAAGATAGAAATGCTGATATTAACTAAGAAAACAATAAAAATGATTAGGTCCCCCTTTATCCTTGATTTTTGAGTCAATTTGAAGGGTTAGCATTGAAATGACCTGGTTTGTGAACAAGGGAGAGTTTTTTTTTTTTTTTTGGGGGGGGGGAGTTAAAAAAAAAATTCCTGTTGTGATAATCTCATGCTTAAAAAGAAAAAAAAAGTTCTCTTTATGCTTTTCTTCATGATTCTGCACATGGTATTCAATAAAAGTGAATGTTGACAGAAACTTCTTTGACCCAGAAAACTAGCCATTTCTTCATGAAATTTTTATTCTATTTCCTAATAGAAAACAAAACTTGCTGTGGCGTTTGAGTATGTTTTTCTCCTTTTAGGGAATGGCAATGCTCTGTGAAACCATTGAAGAATGTTGGGATCACGACGCAGAAGCCAGGTTATCAGCTGGATGTGTAGGTGAAAGAATTACCCAGATGCAGAGACTAACAAATATTATTACCACAGAGGACATTGTAACAGTGGTCACAATGGTGACAAATGTTGACTTTCCTCCCAAAGAATCTAGTCTATGATGGTTGCGCCATCTGTGCACACTAAGAAATGGGACTCTGAACTGGAGCTGCTAAGCTAACGAAACTGCTTACAGTTTATTCTGTGTAAAATGAGTAGGATGTCTCTTGGAAATGTTAAGAAAGAAGACCCTTTGTTGAAAAACGTTGCTCTGGGAGACTTAATGCATTGCCGACAGCACAGATGTGAAGGACAGGAGACTAAGAGAAACCTTGCAAACTCTATAAAGAAACTTTTGAAAACGTGTACATGAAGAATGTAGCCCTCTCCAAATCAAGGATCTTTTGGACCTGGCTAATGGAGTGTTTGAAAACTGACATCAGATTTCTTAATGTCTGTCAGAAGACACTAATTCCTTAAATGAACTACTGCTATTTTTTTTAAATCAAAAACTTTTCATTTCAGATTTTAAAAAGGGTAACTTGTTTTTATTGCATTTGCTGTTGTTGTTTCTATAAATGACTATTGTAATGCCAATATGACACAGCTTGTGAATGTTTAGTGTGCTGCTGTTCTGTGTACATAAAGTCATCAAAGTGGGGTACAGTAAAGAGGCTTCCAAGCATTACTTTAACCTCCCTCAACAAGGTATACCTCAGTTCCACGGTTGCTAAATTATAAAATTGAAAACACTAACAAAATTTGAATAATAAATCAATCCATGTTTTGTAACAATTTCACTGTGTTATTTAAGGGAAAAAAGGTAAGCTATGCTTAGTGCCAACAGTAAGTGGCCATTCGTAAAGCAGTGTTTTAGCATTTCTTGTGCTGGCTTGTAATGTAGGGAAAAAAAGTGCTGTTTTTTGAAAAGATGGTGTCATTTCCCCCTTCTTCCCATGTTTTAAAGCCCCATCTTATATCCAGTTCCCAAAATTTGCATACTTACCTAAGTATTTTTTTTTAGGTGTGCTGTGTTTGGGGAATATTTGAAAATTTAAAGCATGATGTAAAATTTTTTTAAGTGAGCTGTGACACTGGAAAGCTCTTCATTTTGTCTTTTAAAATAGAGTTTTTTCTATTTATATATGTAAAATTGTAGTGTATTTCTTTTCACCAAACAGTGTGTGGGACATTCTTTATCACTGTTTAGGATCACCTCAGGAAGTGTCGTTACCCAGAATTCCTCACTGTCTGCTTTGAGACTTGTAACTTTATCACTATACTTCTGCTTGGTGCCATCTTGTCAGAGTAATATTTGATGTCTGTGATATGTAAAGAATTATCCTAGGATAGAGATATTAAACTTTAAGCAGATTTCAGATGTTACTGCTTTAAAACAAATCAGGGATAACAAATTAAACATATAACTTAAAATATGCAATGACATTTAGAGGTAACCAATGTTGATATAGGTAACATAGCCTAGCCACCGCCCCAAAATTGCTTTTACAACTAACACTGATATTAATTTAGGATAGTTCATGCCTTATCCTTGCTAAGAAAATGGAATTGATGGTAGGCAGGTGCCAAAGTGCTTTTCAAAACCATATTACGTTAGAATACAATTGGATTCTTCCTCAGATTTATACAGGCCAAAGTAAAAACATTAATTTCCTGAATTTCCAGATTACCAATCAACAAATAGCCAGTATTATGCCATGTTATTTCTGTCAGGTCATTTTAAAATCCATACGTTAATTTTATAAAAGAATTTTTTACATGTCACTGTCAGGAGCTCACTGTGAATGTGTTGTCTTAAAATCGTTATTTAACCACACAGTACACTACATTTTACATATATGTATGTAATCTCTGGGAATAGTAAATTATGTTATTTATAAAAAATACATAGGTCAACAGACTTTAAGCAGGGAGGAAAAGAAGAGTAATAGCGTCTGTGTGCCACAGACCATTCAGAACTGTCATGCGTGTCCCCATGGTCTCATTGTATTCCTAGCAATTCCATTTTCAATGTTGAGTTCACCTCTATTTCATAGAGTACTTGGTCTCTCAGTTTCTTGATCTGGCTTTGCTTCCATTTAAAAACTAATCAAGAAGGGAAAATATTGAGAATGTGCATACAAGAAAATCATTAATTTCCTGAAGATGAATTTCTACCTGTTGTGAACATTCAACTTTCTTTTTAAAAGTTAAAATCAAAACAAAAATAAACAAGGGATATTATGATGAATGTTTGGCTTATGTGAGTACTAGAGATAAATTTTTTTAAAACCAGTTATTCACAATATAAAATGTTTTCAAGTTAGAAAAATTTTTAGAAATCCTGGTTGTTGTATTTAACTGTAGCTAACCAATTTTAAAACTTGTATTCTTTTGAGAACTATGATTAATAGAAAAACTTTTTTATAAGCAGTAAAATAAGAATGTTCCAGTGACTACCTGTCCTTATACCTAGTCTTGTTAAAACTTTCTTTTGCAGGGTATTTAGTGTTTGGTTTACAGTCAGTGCAGAGTGGGCAAGTTAACAGAAAGTTTGAGCTAGAGATACTGGAAAAAAAGAAAGATCAAAGAATGAGAAAAATGGTGATCCATTTTGGGGCAAACTGAAACCCCCCAAATAACTCTTTCCTCATGTGTATGGTGCTCCTCATGACTCGTCTTGTATTTTGCCTTTCTGATACCCATCAGAACTGCTGCTGCTCTAACTTATACTCTTTACCTTGCCCAGATCTCCGCGTAAGGAATGCTTTATGATCAACTTGCCATAGGACTGATGGATTAACCAGTATTCGGCTTTATTTGAAGTCTATGCCCTGCACAGCTCTTGTATGTATTTTAGATGCTAGAAGTTTTTTTTAGCATGTGATGTGTGATTCTTGTTTGAATTCTAGGTACCTTGTGAATTCCAGAAAAAGAGACTGTGCCTCATGATTGTTAGTCCCATGAACTTGCACTATCTTTCATGGCGATGTTTTGAAAATACAATCAGGAAAAAAACCAACACCTTTGGAATTTAAAATAGAATCATATCATGAAATTTAAAAAGAATCTCTTTGGTCGCGTTTCCTCACCTCTAAGTAACAGCTACATTTAAGTAAAATGCAGGTGGTAGGGAAAAAAACCATGGCCAGATGGTGGTTTAGTGGAATAAACTGATTACTGGTCTTTTTTTTTTTTTTTTTTTAAAGAAAGAAGCTTCATCACAGATACTTTCCAGTTTCTCTTTTTTACTTTTTTGAAAGATTACTTTTTAGGAACATTTGGTATGATATGCATAAAATTATTTATCAATTTGTGGGCAAAATGATACAAGTAGCATCTTGATTGAACATCATTTACCTCAGATATTCAACCAGCAGTACGTTTTTTATGCAGTCTCAACCCATATCCCATTTGTTACCTCTCAGAATATTGGTAAGCAGTTATTTTCGCTTTACTCTGTATTTCTTGTGTTTTGGGCACAGGTTATTGTACTACTGTCAAATCGTACTTGCTATTTTTTCTGCAAGTATTTAACAGAAAGCTTAAAATCCCCATAAAACCCCACCTTGGATAAGTGATTGTTAAATATTGTACAAATAAAATGTATGCTATTCCCATTCCATCCCCAAGTTAAATAAAAAAAAAATGAATATGGTATGATTTGCATATGCAGTTTTTATTTAGCTATGTGTTCTTAAAGAGGGGAGTGGTAGCTTTGTAACTTATAGTGAGGCTTACACCTTGACAACAGCAAGAATGAGGATAGTGGTGAGTGAAGGGAGATTTGTTAATTATGGTATTTCCCTCTATTATCGTCTAAACAGATTATATTCCCACTCAAGTATGTGTGTTGGTCCTGCCAGTATTAGGAAGCAGAGGCTTGTTGGCATTGTGTCACACAGTACACACCAATGGATTCTCAGATTTTCTAGGGTAAAGGTGAAGGACGGGGCAGCACTTAGATTATGGTGGTTTGAAAGAAACAGAATTGCTTTCTAAACCAGATGAGGCCGAGAATGCGAACCATGGTGAAATATGCATGGAAACTCTACAGAAAATACTGAAGTGTTTCTTACAGTGTTTTCTGCAAAACAGTGATTCGTTAGGACATTAATAGGTATTATGTTTTCAACATGTACAGCATTATGATACAGTAAGTTTGGACCAAACAGGCATTCATTCCCCAGAGTCTTTCACGTGCATGAGAATCAGTCATTTTAACAAGAATTCTGTTTCTGGTGGGCCACTTGGAGGGAACACAGATGTAAAAAACACACTGAAATATTCCTCCTTCACCTGCTTTTCAGTCTGAGGTAGTCAGATTAAAAAGCAGTTTGTGCTTTTTTGGTTCTATTTTTCCTCCTCTAGTAAATGAAGAAAATATCTTGAAGCTATATGTGTAAGTTTACATTATTCTTGAACCGCTTTTTAAACTAGGGTTTTTCAGGCTTGTTTTTATTGATGACAGTTTAAGCAATTTAAGAGATGAAGTTAGCTCAAAACTCTTGCAAATAGACTTTAGCTTTTTTGTATGAGAGAATATGGAAAGGCCAACAATCAACACTGCTCCTCCCCACAAAAATGCTTTGGGAATGTAATAGGCATATGCTTCATTTGTGTAACTTTTCCTAATGTATTTTTTGAATTTGCTTTTAACTGTTTCATGTTTACCTCAATTGGTACTTAGTCTTAAAATCTGTATACTTGGTTATTGATAGATCTTCTGTAGCTCTTACGTAGCCAGTGAGACAGATGAGGGCTGCCAGCTTTTAAGTGACATCTTAAGCTAGTAAGAAATTGCAATCCTCAAGTCATTTCATGAGGCTGTTACCCTTTAAGACAAATAATACTTTCCTCAAATAGTTTAGAAAATTTTAAAAAGGGTCAGTTAGAGCATAAGTGTAAAATTCTTGCTTCTAGTATATAATAGTGATGTTACCATGTTAAGTATTTTGGTGAAATATCCCCTAAAAATGTGTAGACTATGGCACAGAATCAGTATGCAAGCCTTAGCCTGAATGAGACTGCTGAAAAGTAAATGACAGGGATCTGAATACTTAGAAGGTTTAACTTTTTGCAGGGAAGGAAAGGCTATGTATGCAAAAGAATATGTTGTAACTACTGAAGAGCTACTTTTATACACAGAAATTTTTTATTCCACTTTGTATCCAAGATTTCATTAAAACATTGTGCCTTAGAGCATACTTTAAAAACTATTTGGTAAGGAATCCACTGTCGAACTTCAGGTTTTAATAGCACTGCCTTTGGTGTTAAACTGAGTTGAATTCCAAGCCTGCTGGCTATTCCCAGCATTGCCACTGCTTTGTTAGTTTTCTAATCTGTAAATAACAGTACCTACATCTCACAGGGCCTCTAACAGTTAAATGGATTGTAAGCTGCACAAGCATAGGGACAGTCTGTCTTTTGTTAACCTCCCATGCACACAGTAGGCAAATATTCTTGAACAAATGAAGTCACTTAAGTGCTTATTAAATTTCATTTTAAATATATGCCTCTGTTAATTCATGGATCTTGGAACTTACTTAAAAGACAATGCTTTTACTGACATTTCCACATTCCTCAGGGATTTACTGTTTGATACAGGTTCAGTTAACATTGCCATACATGTCTCATTACTTTTGGGAGTGCTTTTCCAGAAATCTCTGGTACAGTCACGTCACTTCATGATGGGGCTGTTCTGAGAAATGTGTCTCTGGGTGATTTCATCATTGGATGAACATCAGAGAGTGTACTTACACAAACCCTGATGGTATATAGCCTGTTACACACCTAGGCTATACATACAGCCTAGCCTATTACTCTTAAGCTACAATGCTGTACAGAATGTTACTGTAATACTGTAGGCAACTGTAACACACTGGTAAACATTTGTATATTCAAACATAGAAAAGGTACAGTAAAAATATGGTATAGTCTTACGAGACCACCCTCATATATACAATGTCACGGACCAAAATGTTATGTGGTGCCATGACTATACTTGTTAAGAAGGCAAATTCCAATCCTTTTGACCTATGGTAAGCTCAACAATCTGTAATTTTAGAAAATCTTACAAGGGATTCTGATGTGGGTGGTATGAGTACCACATTTTGAGATATCTAGAAGAAAAATCTCCAAACTCCTTGGCCTTTTCCTTCCATGTGAACCATCTTCTGACTAAGCTGGTTAGTCTCCTGAACTAGAAAACCTGAGTCTGGGATAGAATCCAAAATTTGCTTGTGGACAGAAAAAAACCCTGCAGCAAACCTACTGTACCAAAGGTTACTTATACTTCAGTTGTTACGATTGTTTTTTCACTCCTTTGGTTTAAGGTTTGTAAAGACATCTAGCTGTTAGGTTGAAGTGAGCTCTTCAAATAGACCATTATATATATAAGTGTTAAAAAAGCACATGGTCTAGTCCCTAAAACAGTCATATTTTATTCTTCTGAACTGCTACTTACAAAGTAATCTCAATTACTGAAATTACAAATCATGTAACTGTTCATGATTAAAAGGCAAGACACAGCCAAGACAATAGACATGCAAGTCTCACATAAATACAAAAATATTTATAGAATGTTCAGTATTATCATGTTAAAGGACAATAGTTTTTCGTTCTCTACAGAAGTATGAATGAAATGCCAAAGTTGAAGTCACTGGTTATATTCATAACCAGCTCAGTGAGGATGTTGCCCACTGCCTCACATCTGTAGGACAGTTGGGATATTTCTGCAGAGCATTCATAATTTGAGTATTATCCAAAAGCAGTTTCATCAGCTGGTACTCTCTCTGTGAATTTCCTGAAGTTCTTTCCATGGGCTTTATTAATTCTAATTGTTGCAAGTGTTCAAAAGCCTGAAAGATGAAAGAAATAGTTTAGGCTGAACAGGAGAGGAGAGTAACAACTCTCCTGGTCTCTCCCAGAGAACAGTTAGTGTTTTGGTCAGCTGCAGAACAGAGTACTGGGAAACAAACTAACAACTATCACCAGGACTAAAAAAACTCTCACAACCCCATAAAAAACTCTATTATCAGGTAAAACAGTCTCAATGCACACTTACTTGTCCATATATTGTTGAATGTAAACATGGCAAACTTTAATTCAATACATACAATAACGGTTTTCTTCCTGGCCTCATTCTCTATCATAGTTCCTCCTAGTACTTCAATTAATAAAGTGTTTCCAGTTCTCTGTAAAAACCTAAGAATCAGATAAGACTTTCTGATCGATTACCTAAGCTACTCAGATTTGCATTTATATTTTGTCTGTCTCTACCTTTGCTTTGCTATGTAAAAAGTTAACAACTGTAACAAAGAGGGAGGCAGAAAAAGACCCTTGAGTCAACTAGGCATATTCAGCTGATCCTGTAAGTAAAGGATTCAACAGGGTGGTATGGACATGGAGAGGGGACAGGCTCCTGTTTCCTCTAAGAAGTCAGACTGAGACTGTCACAACATTCTTCCATTTTCCCCATCTTAATAGGGCTCTTTCCTGTCTGCTTCCTCTTATCCTTAATATTCACATATTGTATCTTTGCTGACCTTCAGTGTTGTGTTAGGTATGTTATTAGGGTATGAAAAAATCTGAAACCATTAAATCATGATATACTAACCATTAAATAACGATACACTGAAATAGATTCCTGAGGATTCTATTATATTCTTACAACTCACTGTAAAAAACATCACTGGAGCATATTCTCTATGTATCACATAAATTCTTCTGATAGAGAAACAGCTCAGATACCTTCATATCTGCAAATGAGAAAATACTGGAGGCTGCAGGTGTTAGAGCTGAATAGAACTGTGCAGATTTAAAACATTTCTAAATAGCAAAATACTTCATTATTGAAAATTCAGAAATGAGCAGCTACAAATTATTGAGAATTTAAATGCAGGCCGGGCACAGTGGCTTAAGGCTGTAATCCCAGCACTTTGGGAGGCCGAGGTGGGCAGATCACAAGGTCAGGAGTTAGAGACCAGCCTGACCAACATGGTGAAACCCTGTCTCTACTAAGAATGCAAAAATTAGCTGGGTATGGTGGTGCACGCCTGTAATCCCAGCTATTCAGGAAGCCGAGGCAGGAGAATCGCTTAACTTGGGAGGCAGAGGTTGCAGTGAGCCAAGATTGCACCCACCACTGTACTGCAGCCTGGGTAACAGAAGGAGACTCCATCTCAAAAAACGAAAAACAAACAAACAAAAACCCCCAAAATTTAAATACTTGGGTAACCTTTCCATTTTCACAACTCTCACAGAATAAGACTATTAGGGGAAAAAAACCATCCAGTATTGTAAAATACTTTTCCTGTTTCTTTGAAGAAATGGCAATGCTCTGTGCTCATTTTTGTTGCTACAGGAAATGGAATTCTGATTACTGCGGCCGACAAGGGATGCCAGTGGACTTGGGGATCCACTGTTTTACAAAAGTTTCTTTCCTTAAAATCCTCAAGAGCTGCACTGTCCACACTAGGCTACTCAGCACTTCAATGGTGACTCAATTTTTATTTAAACTTAAAAATGGATATTTAATTCTATTAAAAAATTCTGAGCATGTTTAGCACAATTTCAAAATGTAAATTTACTTTCTCAGCTATAAATTTTATGGAATCTAAACAGCAAGAATTTCCAGTGAATATTTAGGTCACTGAGATGTGCTTTGTAAGTATAAATGTACACCAAATGTTAAAGACTTAATTCAAAAGAATGTAAAATACTTTGTTTTTCTATGATTATAGAATGACACATTTTTGATATGTTGAATTAAATATAATATATAATTAAAATTACACCTTTTTTTTTACAGGTACTAGAAAATCTAAAACTACATTACATGGCTCACATTATCTTTGTAGTGGACAATGGTAATCTACATGAAGTCCTGAAGTTGTAAAACTCATGACTCAGCCCCCAAATAACACTTTGTCTGTATCCCCTCACAGGCCAGTGAGATTTTGTCTTTTAAGTTTCTTAATGGCTCTTATTTGCATTTTTTTTCTTTTACTGCTGCGATTATAAAAGCCAATCAATCCTTGGGTTGGAAAGGGAAAGGTTGTATCTAACACACTATACTGAATAGTTGTTTTCAGGATGCAAGTGCTATGAAGAGACAGCAGAGGGCAGTATACCTCCACAAACTAAAACAACTGGTCACTTCCTCAGATTTTTTCAAAATATTTCATTTTTAGATAATTGTTTTTAAAAAAAATCTATAACACTTAATATTTAAAAATGAAAGTGCAATTTTAATACATAATCAAATTGGATGTAAAAAATATACTTGTCTGTAGAAAAATAGCAAACTAAGTCTTACCTTCATGACAACAGGTTTTTCAAAATTATAAACAGAATGTGCTTTCCTTTGAACAAACTTCTGAAACTCTGGGTAGAAAGCAATGACAACATTATACCTTCAAATAAGCAGTGGGGAAGAGTCAGAAAAAATCTACTTAAGTCTCATCTCACCATTATAGACCATTTGAAAATTAAATGGCTCTTCCTCATAGATGTCATTTAAATGTTTCATTGCTATTATAAGACAGATTTCCAAGACTGATAGACCTATAGTAAAAGGGAAAAAAACTATCAGTTTAGTGACACATAAGACTGAAATAACTGTTCTCCAAATAGCAAAATACTTCATTATTGAAAATTCAAAAATGAGCAGCTACAAATTATTGAGAATTTAAATATAGTGAAAGATCTATGGTTTTGAGGGGTGAAGAAGGTCAAGATACTAGATTTCAAATGTGTTCCAATCACTATTATCTATATAAATTTAAGTTACTTAACCTCCCTGTGCTTAGTTTTCCATATCTGCAAAATAAGGATATTTTTAAACTTTTAGAAATGTCACAAAGATTAGCGACAATATTATTAAGCACTCACCATATGGCCCACAGTAAACAAAATAAACTTCAATTTTTATGTGACTTTAAATCACACAGGGCCTTTGGATAGGATTTATCCAGAGACTTCCTAAACTGGAAATTATATCCAAATATGTGTATTCCTTTTTTCCCCTGGAGAGGAAAAGGTTCATTACGTTTGCAAAAGGAAATAACGAACCCAAAATGGCTGAAACCCAGCGAATGCTCTTCAGTAGCTCTTGATACAATGATAACATCAGCAACGTAGTCTTACCTGGATTTCCAATGTGGCAAAAGAGGCAGAGCGTCAAATTTTTTTTTCACTTTAAATGGGAGTGATAGTACCTTCAAAAGGACTAAGTTAAAGGCTATATGGATAGAAAAGTATTTTATAAAGTATTATGCCCATGTTTATTGTAATTTTAAAAACATTCCATTATCTAAATTCAAAGTTTTAAAAACCACAATTTAAAAAATAAGGCTGGGCTCTTACCATGTACAATATTTGCTTTTGAGTCCATGCTACACAGTTGACTTGCTTCCATTAGATCTATGGCAGTCATAAATGGGTGTGATGCTGTTACTCGATTTAAAGTAAGCATCTAGGGAAATGTGGATCAGAAAAACAATTACATATTTACATGGGCATTTTGGAGATACTACTGTGCAAAACTTCTTAATTTGTATAGTCAATTCTTAAGGGAGAGTAAATATTAATGCTGAGGAAGGTATTCTCAAATTCAGTTCTATTAAAATACAGTATTTCAATTTGTGTGTCACATGACTGCAGATGTAAAGCATAAAAAAAGTTTTTGCTGCTCTCTCTAGCCCATCCCACTTGCATAACTTGTTTACTTAATGCTCGGAAGAACAATATTTAAAGAGGAGTAGGTCAAGGAGAAGAAACTGAAAATAATTAAGAATACATACTAATAAAAGCCCCAAACACAAGTCCAAAAGGCAGATCTATGCCTTGTTAACTTTTTCACCACCTAATCATCCAGCCAGGTTAGTGTTAATTGAGATAGAAGTTAGCTGTTTTATGTTCAGTTATACAAAAGAGAAAAAAAATAGCACATTTATACTCAGGAATAACTCCCCTTGAAAGCAGAGTCTACTTCTCTTGTGCTGCTTCTTTAGTTTCCAAAAATGAACAGAGGTCCTGGAGCAGAGCTGCTACTCAAGTATTTGAAGATTTCCTTTCTTCCTTATTTGTATTTTTCATAAAAGTTAAATTTGGTCATTTAGGGTTAGAAGATTTACTAGACAAAAATGCATGACCTCTCCTTAAATTTCAATTTCAAATAAACAAGTTTCTTAGTATAAGTATGTGCCATGCAATATTTGGTATATAATTATCCAAGAAACTCTCTCCTCCACCTTAACCAGGGCGCAAGGCGCCAATTGATTAGCTGGGCAAAGAGTCTGGCAATCCTTGTCCTTCATTCTCCTACTGGTTGGGACCTAGATTGCCAGTGCTCCCTCTCTTTCTCTCTCCTTTCCTTTTTCCTTTAATTATGAATTTTGTTTAATTTTTATTTTTTAATTTCATTTTTCCATAAGTTATTGTCATACGCGTGGTATGGTATTTGGTTACATGAGTAAGTTGTTTAGTGGTGATTTGTGAGACTGGTGCACATATCACTCGAGCAGTATTCACTGCATCATATTTGTAGTCTTTTATCCCTCGCCCCACTGGAAAACAATGTGGAGATTCCTTAAAGAACTAAAAGTAGAAATACCATTTGATACAGCAATCACACTACAGGGCATCTACTCAGAGGAAAAGAGGTCATTATGTGAAAAAGATACTTGCACACTCATGTTTATAGCAGCACAAGTCACAACTGCAAAATCGTAGAACCAACCCAAATGCCCATCAATCAACGAGTGGATAAAGAAACTGTGATATATATATACTGCGGAATACTACAGAGTCATAAAAAGGAATGAACTAACAGCATTTGCAATGACCTGGATGAAACTGGAGACTATTATTCTAAGTGAAGTAACTCAGGAATGGAAAACCAAACATCGTATGTTTTCACTGATATGTGGGAGCTAAGCTATGAGGACGCAAAGGCATAAGAAAATTTTTTAACATATACAAAGGCAACAGAGAATAATAAATTAAATATCCATGACTACTTTCCCTGCTTAAGAAAATGATCTTAGAGTCCATCTCCTCCGGATTGGACTCTACTCTTCCCCACATAAAACAACCAAGCATGTCTATACTATTAGGTTGGTGCAAAATTAATTGCCATTTTTGGCACTGAAAGTAATGGTAACTTTTCACTAACCTAATACTGTATACTTCTACATATACATGTATTATACAACAGAGTAATTTTCAACTTTTATATAAATATACTTTCACAACTCTCTTCACTGTGAGGTTTTATCCATGTTGAGGCAGTATCAATTCTGGTTTATTCATTTTTTTGTTGTATTTCTTTGTATATACCCACAATTATTCATTTGCTAATTTCCTATTGACAGACATCTGTCATTTCTTTTTTTTCCCCAATTATAAACAAAACTGCAATAAACAACCTTGGACACGTCTTCCTGTGCATTAGGTAACTAGAGTTTCTCTAGTATAAGTATGTTTCTCTAGTTAACTAATTTGCTAAATTGCTCTCCAAAGCACTTACACATATTTATGTTGGCAGCAGTGATAAATATTAAGTCACAGTCACGATACCATCAAGCATAACCTTTAACCCTGCCACTAGATTGGCAAGAAAAAAAGTTTAATTGTAGTATTTCTCTGGTTACTGGAGAGGCCGAAAATCTGTAATCTATAATGAGCTTCCACAGTAAGACAATGACAACCAATAATGGGATGAGCTAAGAATATGAGTAAGCAGCCCTCAAAGTAGAATCCCATATGACAAAAAACAAGCCATTATTTAATTAATTACCAGGAATTAAAAATTAATAGAAAAATGGCAGAACAATGGTCATTAATATTGACAATATTGAGGCAGAGATATTTTCCAGGATGGAGATACATATATCTACACACATACCTCCTCTAAAAATTACTAGTCCTCAAATTCCTTCATGATAAAGACAGTTGTTGCTGAAAATGGCAGTATGCTTTTGACAATAGAGGGAAAGTAAATAGGGATAAAAAGACTTAACTTTCCTCAGCAAAAACAGCAATGAGGAAAGAAAACTTGTATGTAAACATGGATGAACCATACAGCCAAGTAGGACACAAACTTGAAGCCAGAGAGCTTTGGATTAAGTCCTGGCTTTGTTATCTACTAGTAATGTGACATTGGGCAAGGTATTAAGCTTTAAGGAGCCTCAATTTCTTTAGGGGTAAGAATAAAAAATAAGATTATTCCAATGGTCAGACATAATATAGGTACTACTAGTATCTACAATACTTGGCTCATGTGCTGGTCAATAAATGGTAGCTACTATCATTATTATTCTATTATTATTTTTAAAAATGACTTTTCTGTGAAACCAAAACTATCTTCTCTTTCAAAGGTATCTGCCATAATTTTCTAGAAATATTAGACTAAAACCAAATTACTCTTAGTGAAGAAAGTTAATTTTCAGAACAATTAAGTACTTCTTGTTTGATACTGGTATTATGTAAGCTTAAGACATAATTACTTGGCAAAACATCATAACCAAGTAGGATTTATTCCAGGTATATAAGGCTGGTTCAACACTCAAAAAATAATGTAATCAAATATATCAACAGGTTAAAGAGAAATATGATCATGTGAAACAATCAAGAACAAGCACTTGACAAAATCCAACACCCATGTATAATAAACTCTCAGCAAGTTACAAACAGATGAGGATTACCTCAACCTGATAATGAACATGTATTAAAAACCTATAGCTAACATCATACTTAATGGTAAAAGTTTGAATCCTTTCTTCCTAAGACTGGGAACAAGAAAGGATGTCCTCTCTCACTGTTCTAATTCAGCATAACACTGGAAATTCTAGTCATTGCAAAAAAGCAAGGAAAGCAATAAAAGGCATACAGATTGGAAAGAAAAAAAAAGTCTCCATTTGTGAAAAATGTAATGCTCTACATCAAAAGTCCCAGGAATCTATTAAAAAACCTCCTAGAATAAGTGAGTTCAGCATAGACTATAAGATCAACACACAAAAGTCAATCACATTTCTATATATTAAAGTGTATATATGTAATCAATCACATATTCTGTATGTAATGAATATGTGGGAAACCAAAACTTCAAAACACCATTTACAATTGTTCTAACAAATACTGGCATACACATTAAATAACTACATCATCTGTGTAGTAAGAGCTATAAAATGCTGATGAAAGTAATCAAATAAGAAATCAAATAAAAGGAGATATGAACCCTATTCAGAGATTGGAACACTCAATGTAGTGTTCCAATGCATGTCGATTCTCCCAAAATTCACCTACAGGTTTAATCAATTCCCATAAAAACTTAATTATCTAGTGAAAGACAGAAAATGATAAAAGTAGGCTGGGCACAGTGGCTGATGCCGGTAATGTCAGCACTTAGGGAGGCAGAGGTGGGAGGATGGCTTAAGGCCAGGAGTTCACAACCAGTCTGGGCAACAAAGTGAGACCCCGTCACTATCAAAAACAAAAACAAAAACAAAGAAACAAGCAATAAAACTAATACAAACCAATAGCATGTGTAATGACCGCAGGTTTTTGCTGATATTGAAATGCTTCTGTAGTACTTCTTGCACACTTCTATCTTCTGAGAGATACTAAGGGGGGGGGGGGGGGGGGAGGAAAAGCCAAAATTGAGGAAAGATGTAGTTTAAAACCCAAATATAATCCTGTGCCTTAGTGGTTGGTGTGCCTTATTAACGCTATCTAATATTAATTCATTATTAAATAGATGTTGGTCTTATTTGTAGAACATTAAAACCAAAACAAAGTTTCCAGTCTACTGATTTCCTTATCCTGTTCTTTACATTAATTCAATAAACACAATGATAAAACAATCCTTGCTAACCCCAAATTCCTACTTGAATAAAGGAAACTACAGTAATACCAGTGAAATGAACAAAATGCAGCACAAAAACACAAGCGCACGAGTTACTGTACCTAGGGAAACAAGGTAAAGCACTACAAATAATGCTTAAACTGGATGAGACAAGAGATTTAAAAAAGAAGGAAAAACATTCCAGTTACAGGGAACAGCATGAGTAGTAGGAAAATCATCACATATTGGCAGAAAATGAGTAGTCACATACTGGAGTTTCAGTTACTGGCAAAGTGAATGTACAAAAAGACAAAGGCAGAAAAACCTAATTGGAGGTAGCTGTCCAGACAAGAGGTAAGGAGGGTCTGAACTATCTGAGTGGTAATGAAGACAAAAGAGAATTAAGACACTTACAGGAGATATATCTGGTAGAGAATTAACTGGTAGCAGAAGAGAAGGAAGGGTTTGAAAGGTAGAAGATAAAAATCAAAGATAATCTATGGGAAACAAAATGGCCTGTGAAAAGTGAAAAGTGGTCAAGAAATGAATCTTGGATTATCAATATTTAAGTAGTAGGTGGGAAAAGAGAAAAACTAAGAAAGTAAGAAAAATACCAAAGACTGGAAGAGAATCTAAGACACAGCAGAGATCTAGAAAACAAGGGAAGAAAGTTTTAAGAGAGAAGTGGGGTTCAACAATATGAACTACTTTGTAAAATTAAGATATATTTGAGAAGAGGCTAATGGCTTTAGAAATTCAAAGGTCACCAGGGCCTTTTGAGAAAGCAGCATCTAAAGAGGCAAGTGACTGCAGTATGTTAGGGTTGAATGGAAGGTGAGGAACATTGGCATTGAAGAAAGGATTAGATGAAAAGAGAGTAAATTCAGAGGTAGCAGAGCCAAGAAAGGCCTGGAAAAGATCGACATAATTTTTCAAAAATTATCTGCATGGAATAAGAATTCTTTTTTCTTAAAAAAACAAACAAACAAAAAAAACCCAGAAAACTAAGCATTTCTGTATTTTCTAGAGCTGTAATTACATGTCTTTACTTTGTCCACTCTAAGAAGACCAGATTCAGAAGTAAGTTCTAGTCTACTGGAATGAAATTTTATACTCTCAGGAAATATATTATTAATTATAGTTCCAACTCCCTTGCTATTGTTTCTAGTCTTCTCTTTGTATTTTAAAGGACTTCTGGTTACTATATATATCTTTTTCTATCACAAACAGGGTAGAATTTCCTTGGAAGAACACAGGGTGAACATAAAAAAAAATAACTTTTGGAAATTAAAAAAAAAATTTGTTTAGCTTTTCTACAGTTTTAAAATTGAAATATGGAAGATATGTGGCTAAATATCACAGGCAAACTATAGTCTTTGCTTCTGTAATCTGTAAATTGTAAAAGTTGATGTGGTAAAATCGAAGCACTTAGGAAAACTAAAGAAAATCCACCTGGGACAAAATTGATTTAAGAAATTTTCTCTGCAAGAATCAATTATTTTTAAAACCTGTATTTGCCTCTTTTTGACATGATGCTTCAAAGGTTAATCTTCTATACTCCATCTTCCTACTTTATCTCTTTATTATTAGTGGTTTGACTCCAGTCCCCCCTCTTTCTAAAAGCTATCACCTTCTTGCTTCTATAATTACTTACTCTGCTTTTTGAAATGCCTACCTTATCTACATGAGCCATTTAAACAAAAAAAAAAATTGTCTAACATCGTTTATTACATTTTTAAATCCATCTTGATTCAAACACTATACCCTATTTGAGGATAAGGCTATTATCAACAACCATATGAGCTACAGTACTTTGATTTCATTTGAGGAGAATAAGGTATGATTCTTTTAAATGTTCTTTTTTAAAGGATCCCTCTTATACTGCCATGCTAAGATAGAGTCTACTCTGCTTACTTATTTGACTCATTTGAAGTAGGGCTAAAACAAACCTTCAAATTAGGCAGGATATCAAGGTTCCATCTTATCCTGAAGATATTTTGTGGTGAGATTCCATGTGTGACCTGTTATCTGTATCACTGCTATTGGCTTAATCTTGCCATTAAAAATAACTTCCTGGATAATCAGCACTAAGAGAAAGAATAGCTCCCTTAATGCAGCTACCACCCTACTCCACAAGGCAGGGACTCTGACCATGGTGCTGACAGATTTTTCAAGTGAAGCTTATTTTATTCACATACCAAAGAGAGGCATAAGATAATCAAGATAGGGGAAGAAAATATTGGAACTCAGAGACGCAAACACCAGTGATGCTGCTTCTACTTAATGAAATGGACTATTAAGACTGTCAAAAAGATGACAGGATAGTGCTCACATTCAGGGGATTTAAGGTCTGCAACAAAAGTCCAGAAAGTAGAGTAGTTACACTATTAACATATAGTTATCATTTCCTAAGTCATGCAGAGTTATACTTTTTCACCAGTAACTCCCAGCATCCTCTTTATTTACAGACCCACTTTGAGATGCTCAGAATGCAATACAGTTGGGAAGGACAGTGGATGGAAAATGGCACAATGCAACCTGGACCATGTAGTTACCTTAGGAAGATTGTGAGCAGGTATGGAAAAAATAAGAGCCCATGTAAAGTACAGAAATGTAAATACTATGAAAGACTACATTTGAATCTCTAAAACAGTCAGAAAAATATACTAGTGGAATAAGACAATCAGTTCAGGAGTTGTAGAAGATGAAAGTCTGTGAAGCACTAAAAAGTAGATCTAAAAGCTGAAGATCCAGAGGGCTGGTCCATACCAGACCCCGGTAAGAGGGGACAATGTGGGAGTACCAACTACAAAGAAAGTGCTCCTATAGATGGAATCCTATAATTAGAAATAGTATCAAAGACACTTGGCTCAGGTAATTGAACTATCCAAGTCTCAGGAATGATTAATTTGAGTGGAAGGGAGGATCATACCTAATTATATCCAGGCATATATCTGAATTTTAAAGATAATGTCAGCTATTTTTACATACAATTATGTATAGTTGTATTAAGAAAAAGAACAAGGAATTATCAGTTATAACAATGGGAAAAAGTAATATAAACATATGTAGGCTTTGAGTCCTTTATGTAAAAACAATATATTTAGCATGTATGTAAACTCTGCAATGTTATAGACCAAATAATTACTCCATAGTAGAAGGAAGGAGAATTGATATAGTCTTATGGGAAACTTCCACTGTTTATCATGTATTTTTTTTGCACTGATTACATTTTGTTCAATAAACTTTTATGACTTTTTTAAAAAATGAATTGTGTCAAAATTAATAGTGCTTACATGAGCAGACTATATTTTATAATCAAAACAATAATCATTTAAAGAACAAACTAAATGCAAAATGCTTCCAATTTAGTATTAGTATGTAAGAATTCATGGTAAAAATACAATCTACTTGAGGTCGGGCGTGGTGGCTCACGCCAATCCCAGCACTTTGGGTGGCTGAGGCAGGCGGATGACAAGGTCAGGAGATCGAGACCATTCTGGCTAACACGATGAAACCCTGTCTCTACTAAAAATACAAAAAATTAGCTGGGCATGGTGGCAGGCGCCTGTAGTCCCAGCTACTCAGGAGGCTGAGGCAGGAGAATGGCGTGAACCTGGGAGGCGGAGCTTGCAGTGAGCCGAGATTGCGCCACTGCACCCCAGCCTGGGCAACAGAGCAAGACTCCGTCTCAAAAAAAAAAAAAAAAAATACAATCTACCACTACTGCTTTAAAATAAATCTTTTTTATAGAGTCACTGACTATAGACTATGTAATTCTATTCAAAGATCTAATTATCCGTACCAGTATTTTAATATTATCAATCAATTTTTCCCAATTCCTTTAGAGCCAAGGACTCTATATTATTTTCCACTCTCACGAGGCCAATATTTTTTGAGATTCTACCATAAGGGACTTATTCATTAACAATGTTTTTCAATTATGTTATTAAATACACATACACATGCATACTTCCTCCTTTCTCTTTGCCAACTGAAACTTCTTGACAGCATAAGATTAAAATGCTAGTGTGTTGAGAATATTTTAAGCACAGGTAAATTTATAGTCTCAAAGGTGTGGCAAATCTTTAAAACAACATATGAACCTGCCTTTGTATCTAAGATTCTCAGGTCTCCAGGGACTGAGAGATGTGATCAACTAATAGATAGTATAACCAGAGGTGCCACAGTCTGTACTGCCTCTTAAGGCCCAACAAAATGAAAGCTGAAGTTGCTAATGAAAACTGGAAGAAAAAAAATCCACACAGAATAGGTATGAATCACTAACATTTATTTATTATTATTTACTATTTATTATTATTGCTAAATATGTAAAATATATATAGTAAATTATGCAAATTCATTAATAAAATTATCTGAAATATAAACCACATAGATAAAACTAAAGCCTCATTAAAATTTACTTCAAACTAATAACATAAATCCTAAAGCTTAACTGTAATGTTCTTTTAAGATAGAACTTAGCAGATACGACATTTCAACTGTTACAAGAAAATTTTAAAAAAGCATATAATTTGTATTCCTGTAGCTTTATCCCTCAGCAATATTAGAAACTTTGTGTTAATTTACTAATTTCTAAAATTTGTGTTTTAATTGCTTTAAATCATATAGCAAGGAACATTTAGCTTTATTGCCTTTAAGCTACCTGAACATTTTCATTCCACTTCTCAGCAAAAAGCTTGTCTGGAAATTCTGCAGGTAGAGATAACTGTTCTTTAAATATTTTAACATACTGTGGAAAACCAAATGAATTCATTAAGTGTATCTGCCGGTGAGAAAATCTTGACTTCACTCTTTTTTCTAAGAGTTCCAAAATATCCTTAAAAACAAACAGAAATCTCTATAAGCAAGATGAATGTTTAAAAAAAAAAAAAACAGTACCAACATTAGAGATATAAGTACACTATCACCTATAATTAGTAATGTTTAGTCTATAACACATAATTAAACATTTAAAACATTTTATGCAAACTAAATAATCCCCCTCCAGGCATCTGCTGGCCTGGTGATGTCATGCCTTTTTCCTACCATGTTACTCTCAGCTAATCTGTAACATTCCAAGACCCACTATGATTGTTTAAAAAAACTGACTATATTAAATAGCTATATGTCACAGTAACAACAAGAGTGTCAGTAAGGAATTCTGTACATTCTATGAAGAACTGAGATTAAAAAATTAATAGCATGATAGGTAGCAGAAACCAACTTTAGGAGAGGAAAGTGCCAGAAATGCAACATGGCATTTGTAAGTTATCTTCCGGCTTTTTATTTTTTATAGTAATGCTTTTAGACTTTATTTGTATTTGTACTATTTTTCCTTAGGAAGAAATCAGGAATCAAATTTACCATCAAAGAACACTAAAAACCAAAGGATAACTAATATGTACTGCTTGTAAGGACATACGAAGTGTTCTTAAATGGAGAAAATACTTGCACAAAACTGATAGGCATTCAAACTATCCAAGATATCAAAAGCACAATAGGTAAGTTGTCTTCCTAAGTCACATAAATTGCAGGAACTGTCATTCCTAAATCTCTTTTTAATATTGAACTTGAGCAATTTTTCAAAATATATTATAGTACACAGTATAATGTATATAATATATATAATTTATATATGTATATATACATCTACATATATAGTATAGTGTAATATATATTATTTAAGTTACACTCCAAGGTATACAACCAAGACAAATGAAACCAGGTAACTACAAAAAAAGTGTATGTGAATGTTTGCAGCAGTACTATTTTTAATAGCTTCAGAAATGTAAACAACCCAAATGTCCATCAACTGATGAATGGATAAACAAAGTGTGGTATATCTATACAACAGAATATTATTTGGCAATAGAAAGGAATAAAGGGCTGATACATGCTGTAACACAGATCAACCCTGAAAACATGTTAAAGAAGCCAGTCACACAAAACTATACGTTGTATGATTCAAAAATTACTATACAGTCAGAAAGTGGATTAGTAGATTAGTGGTTGCATAGGGCTGTGGAGGGAACAGGGGATTTGGGGTGATTGCTAAAAGGTATGTGGCTCTTAAATTGTGGTGATAAATGCACAACTCTATAAATAAAAACCCTGTTAACTGTATAATTTAAATGAGTGAACTGTATGCTATAAATTACATCTCAATAAAGCTGTTTTAAAAAGCCCCCACCCCCAAATATGAACATGATGTCACTGTTGTTTACATTTCTTAAGCTATTAAAAAATAATACTGCTGCAAACAGTCACATACACTTTTTTTGTAGTTCCCTGGTTTCATTTGTCTTGGTTGTATACCTTGGAGTGTAACTTAAATAATACATATTATTTAAGGAATTACAGCTAATATAACAATTATATTAGGGAAATATATTTTTAGAGAGCCCTTATTTCCTAAAAATACATTCTAAAACACTTACTGATAAAATGATATAATGCCTAGTTTTTGCCTCAGAATAATACAGGAATTAAGGGAGATATTGAGGATAAATAAAACTAGTCTGTAGTAATTGAATCTTGGCAAGGAGTGGAGAAGGGAATTCAGGGCTTATTATTTATTCTTTCCTATGTATATTGTTAAAATGTTATAGAATAAAGTTTTTTAAAAGGGGAGTAGTTTAAGCCCAGAACTATACATTTCCACATCTAGCCAGATGACTCTCATAATACCTAGGTCAAGAAATCATGATATAGAGGAAAGAATTCAAGTGATCAAAATGGGATCATGGTTAGTCTGGGAAGGAGGACAAGAAAGACTAACAGCCTGAGGTAGGAGGCGCGAGGGTGAATAAAAAATTTTGAATGTTTTTATGAGGTCAAAGAAAAGTATAGTGCCAGCATGAGAATTAAAAGAGAAGAAAGGTTATATTCAAAGATTCAGATATTGCACATTTATTTTCTATTAAGAAAGAGTTCTAGGTCACCCATATAGGTAGACAGTAGAAGTAATATCAATACAAGCAACAATTTGGGAATGAAAAGAGATGGAAGTAAATAATGTCTTTGTAGTAGGCAGTAATGACAGAAGTTGGCAATGTGGGCATAAAGGAACTAGTAAAAACAAAACAAAACCAAAAAACAAAAATGGAATTACTCCCAATGGGGAAGAAGATGCTTGCTGGCAAAGTCACTACTCCCTCTATATATCTCTCCCTATAAACATGGATACACAGATAAAATTATACTTAAGGCCAGGTGCAGTGGCTCACACCTGTAATCCCAGCACTTTGGGAGGCCGAGGGGGGCGGATCACAAGGTCAGGAGTTTTGAGAGCAGCCTGGACAACATGGTGAAACCCCGTCCCTACCAAAACTACAAAAATTAGCCAGGCATGGTGGTGTGTGGCTGTAATCCCAGCTAGTCGGGAGGCTAAGGCAGGAGAATTGCTTGAACCCGGAAGGTGGAGGTTGCAGTGAGCTGAGATCATGCCACTGCACTCCAGCCTTGGCGACAGAGCAAGACTCCATCTCAAAAAAAAAAAAAAAAGAAAGAAAGAAAGAAAAAAGATTACTTCAAAGAACTACACAGTTGGAGAATTATATATATACACAATAAAAAAAGAACATCTGATAACACTGCTAAGAAGTTACTGGCATTTTATTTGGTTCTTCATCGGGTCAACAACACTTGCCACAGCCACTTCTACCCAAAGGAAGATTTTTTTTTTTTTTTTTTTGGGTAAGCAGGAGGGTGCTTCTTTGATCCTTGTCATAGCCTGCTGCTTTTGGCAAGGAGGAATAAAGATATGTGGAGCACCAACCAGTGATGTATGAGGGGAGTTTATACTAAAGCCATACATCATAAGCTCTAGAGCACAGGGAAGGAGGGGAAAATGACAGTGACTCTACAGAGAAACAGCACTGGAAGGAGGACTGTTAAAATATGAATTAGTAAAAAGTTTCACTTTTCTGAAAAACGAAAAGGGCTGTACGAAAGGAGATGTGAATGTATACATGTGCCTGAATATGTCTGTGGAGAATGGAGGAGGAAGAGGATGGCAAGCAAGCTATGGAGGCACAGCAGTTATAGCATGAGAAAAGAGATAACTGTGCTATGGTATGGACGTGGTTTGTCCCCACCAAATCTCATGTTGAAATTTAATTGCCAGTGCAATAGTGGGAGGTCACTGGAGTGGACCCTCATGAATAGATTTAATGCCCTCTTACTGGACTGAGTTCTTGTTCTCATGGGGATAGATTAGTTCTTGAGACAGCGAGTTGTTATAAATTGAGGTTCCAACTCCCATCTGGTTTGTTTTTGCACATATCTGCTCCCCATTTGACCTTCCACCATGTCATGCAGCATGAAAGCCCTTGCAACAAATCCAGTGCCATGCCCTTGAATTTCTCAGCCTGCACAGCTGTGAGATAAATAAACCTCTTTTCTTTAAAAATTACCCGTCTCAGGTACTATGTTATAGCAACACAAAATGGGCCAAGGCACTCTTCAATGCCAGTTTATCTGAATTCAGTAAGGAAGTTCATGCTACAAGTGTGTAAGAAGGTAAACACAAAAAGGCCTGTATAGCTGTCCAAAGGTACACATGGTTCAATATGTACAGAGCCTTCACAAAGCAAAGTGATAGTGATATTGAGATTATAGTTAAAAACATTCTAAAATATCCCATGGAATGAAAAAGCCACTATCTACTGTCAGTGCTTGGTAGAATCTTTTCCATTTCTGGAGACGTGTACTTTGAAAGTTGGAATAGTATTATTTAGAGTTGATTTCAGTCCTTTTCAAAATATGGAAAAAAATCTTACAACAAAAACTATTACCAAGTTTTCTCAAATACTGGTGGGATTACTTAACTGCCTCATTACTTGATAATGTAGAAATTATATTTATTAGCATAATCTGATTTCATACTTTTTTCTTCAGTGATTTCACTGGGGGGAGGGAGGTATTCATTAATGGGCTAAGGTAACCATTAACCTGTTTTCCTAAATTTGAGTTGAAAAGCAGGATAAATACACCAGGCACTGCTGAAACAAAATTTTTAAAATGCCTAACATAATGACCTAAATAAGTGAAAAAAGACTAGTAGTGTCAGCAATTAAGCTTGAATTTTAAAATATTATAATCAACTTTTTTAATGAAGAAAAAGACTTACCAATCTACATGTAAGGCCAATAACTGCTATTGGGGTCTGTGCAGACTGAGAAATGTCAAAAAGATTATAGAGAAGTGTCTGGTTTTTATGATGAGCAAAAAGATCAAATTCATCTAATATGAAGATCACTGGGCAACTGCTAGTTCGGTCACCTAAGATAAAATAAGAGCATTACATTATCAAGAAATTATATCCACCTTTCCTAAATTTCCAAACTATTTACTGTATTTCAGTTTTTAAAACTCAATTCTACAAACATACTGATAGCCTACTTTGGGTAGGGGATTTACTGATGCATATATGTTCATTCAACAGAAAAAAATTATTCAAAGGACAAAGACAGCCCCGACTGCTCTCAAGAAGTTCAGTCTAGGCTGGGCGTGGTGGCTCACGCCTGTAATTATAGCACTTTGGGAGGCCGAGGCGGGTGGATCACCTGAGGTTGGGAGTTCGAGACCAGCCTGACCAACATGGAGAAATCCCATCTCCACTAAAAACACAAAATTAGCTGGGTGTGGTGGTGCATGCCTGTAATCCCAGCTACTCGGGAGGCTGAGGTAGGAGAATTGCTTGAATCCGGGAGGGAGAGGTTGTGGTGAGCCAAGATCGTGCCACTGCACTCCAGCCTCGGCAACGAGAGTGAAACTCCATCTCAAAAAAAATGGTTCAGTCTAGGCCGGGCATGGTGGCTCACGCCTGTAATCCCAGCACTTTGGGAGGCTGAGGTGGGTGGATCACCTAAGGTCATGGGTTTGCGACCAGCCTGGCCAACATGGTAAAATCCCATTTCTGCTAAAAAAAAAAAAAAAAAAAAAAAAAAATTGCTACTTGGGAGGCTGAGGTAGGAGAATCTCTTGAACTGGGGAGGCAGAGGTTGCAGTGAGTCAAGATCACACCATTGCATTCTAGCCTGGGCAAGAAGAGTGAAACTCCGTCTCCAAAAAATAAAAAGTTCAGTCTAGTTCCTAGACTCTAGTAGAGTTTGTTGAAAAATGTCAAAAATCATTTAAATTACTAAAGACTATTATTTTTATAATTATGTGAATATAATTCTTATTTAATGATTATAAAATTGAGAAAGAGTTTTCTATATTTGCACAGAACGAAAACACTTTAGGATTAAAATATAAGAGGAGTTATTAATTAATGAACAAAACTAATGCTTTAAAAGAGAGTTGTTTAGTAGAAATACAAGGTACATTTCTTGTAGAAATACTTGTTATAAACAAACTTTTAGATTATAAAGTTCAACTAAAGCCACTTAAACTCCCTTTATGCACAACTTTTAGCATTTCAACTATAATGCTTTTCATTGGGAAAGTTCCACATCACCCTCTGGTTAAATTTTTCTCACTTCAATGATGGAAACAACTTTAGTAGAAGAATCCCTTTTACCTTAGGCTTAATGCCTTTACGTTTGTGTTAAAAGGTAAAACAAATATCTGATAAAAGACAGACTTATTTCACACAAATAAATACAGTAGCCTAAATGATTTAATACTGGTATAAAACCAAAGGGATTACTCAAGTCTAGAAAGAGACCTATGTACTAATACAGAATTTTAGTATTTGATAAAACATTGCATTATACATCAGTGGGGAAAATTAGTCTATTCAAAGTTAGATCCCTACTTTACAGGTAAAATCAGAATACATTCCAAACAAATTATAAATTATAAATATATATATTAAATAAAAAGATGGATCAGTGTTTTTATAATCTGAAGGAGAGAAAAAACTTTCTAGATAAACTTAACTACGTGGAAAACGTAAAACTTTAGATCATCAGAAAAGTCCAAACCAAACTTAAGGGAAGAGAAAAATAAAACACAAAAATTCCGATAAATAAGTATAAGATAAACATCACCACAATAGGTCAAAGACCCAACAGGAAATACAGTCGTGTGTCCCTTAACGACAGAGATACGTTCTGAGAAATGTATTGTTTGGTGATTGCATCATTGTACAAGCATCCTAAGAGTGTACTTACACAAGCCTAACTGGTGTAGCCTACTAGACACCTAGGCTGTATGGCATAGCCTATCACTCCTAGGTTATGAACCTATGAGCATGTGATAGTGTAGGCAACTGTAACACAATGGAAAGTATTTGTGTATCTAAACATATCTAAACATACGAAATGTACAGTAAAAATATGGTTTTATAATCTAATAGGACCACTGTCACATATGTGGTCTATCATTGAATTAAAGGTTGTTATGTGGCACATGACTGTACATAAACCAGGAAATTTCAAAGGTCAATAAAAATATGAAATGACAAGCATCACCACTAACAGAATTATGCAAATTAAACAAAGAACAAAATTATTCAAATTAAACTAAGAGATGAAAGTTTTTCTATTATATGGGCAAACATAAAAATAATTGTTTTTGAGGTTGTGAAGAAAAAGGTATTATCAAATATTTTTACAAAGTAAACTTTTAGTTTTTAAATGTCTTTTAAAGACGGTGCCTTTCAACCCAGAATTCTACCCACAGAAATTTACTCCAGGAAATATCTGGATGATCATCTAAGTATCTCTTCTTAATTATAAAAAATTAGAAACACAAGTCCATAATTGGTGATTAATAAATAACACCTTATAAAACAAGATGAGAACCATAAAAATGATGCAGATCAAAATTTGCTGATTACAAAATGATAGGTAAAATAATTTTATTGTAAAAAGTTACATTTATCTCCATCAATAATATACTGATATAAACATCATCAGTATATACAGTATATTATACTGTATATATTATTGAATAAAGAAACCAAATGCTAATTGAGATAATCACTGTTACAGTGGTGGGAATACAGTGATCATTGTTTTTAATGTTTCTGTATTTTGAGAGTTTTTCTTTTGGCAAAAGCTTGTATTACCTTTATAATCAAGGAAAAAATAAAAGTTAAAACATATCTTCTGAAATGGCTGAATATGTTAATATTTACCTTTTTTTAAAGCTTCCAGAAGAAATGAAAGGTTTTCAGCAAAGCTTCCCTGAACAACAAAATGAGATAAAATGATTAAAAGTTTAGTGAAATAAAGAATAAAAGAGGGCTGATTCTCAGATTTTGTATAAACACTGTATATCTTCTAGTTATTAGAGTCACTGCCCAGACTTTGCTGAGAGTCTCTATACTTCCTATCTAAAACTTAAATACTTAAGCAAAGACGGCACAACACTGAAAATGGCAATTACAATGTCATGCTTGAAATTTTATTTCAAGCAATTATTTCAATTACAATGTCATGGTAGAAATCTGAAGGTAGTTTTGTAGAGTTGCCATATTCTAAATATTGTTTGAGACCTAGAAATGGATTCTATTTTGTGTCTTCAAACACAGTGGGGTCTTGCAAGTCTCAAATTAATTTGTACTGGTAAAGAAATAACCATAAATTTAAATGAGATACAAAAACAAAAGGCTTTTTTGAAACATTAGATACTATAACAGTGTTTGTCTATTCAAGAGTATACTGAAGAATTTTTTTATTTTTATTTATTTATTTTTTTTGAGACAGAGTCTCGCTCTGTCGCCTAAGCTGGAGTGCAGTGGTGCGATCTCTGCTTGCTGCAAGCTCCGCCTCCCAGGTTCACGCCATTCTCCTGCCTCAGCCTCCCGAGTAGCTGGGACTACAGGCGCCCGCCGCAACGCCCGCCCGGCTAATTTTTTGTATTTTTTAGTAGAGATGGGATTTCACCGTGTTAGCCAGGATGGCCTCAAAATCCTGACCTCGTGATCCACCCGCCTCGGCATCCCAAAGTGCTGGAATTGCAGGTGTGAGCCACTGCGTCCGGCCAAGAGTATATTGAAGAGTTTATGTATATCATATCATGTTTGGCTATGTTTACTTGTAATATAGCCAAAACGTTTTTGGATACAATTAAATATTCTTGATGAAACTTAACGTAGTAGATGCCTTATCTAGGTGCTTCAGATTGTGGGTAGAAGCCCCATTAAAATATTTTTTTCATTAAAGTTATTAATTTTTATTTCATTCAGAGTTCATAATTAAAAGAAACAGCCAACTTTAAATTTGAGGAGATATAAAGGAGAAAAGAAACGCACTTATTCGTTTTCCAGTTGAGAGATCTAACATAAAAATAGCATACAGTTTTTTAAACTTTCACATATTGTGATGTTGTTATGCTATTTCCAAGGTAGGCAGACCAAGAGGTGTTATCCATAATTTATCATAATATAACAAATCCTCAAAGAGACAATCTGTTGGGAAATCAGTAGTCAGTTACTCAAAGGTAGTTTGTCTTTCAGGCTTTTTGTTTAAAAGATTATTATATCTGATACTAAGTATATGCTTCTTTTTTTTTTTTTTTCTGAGACGGAGTCTCGCTCTGTGGTCGCCCAGGCTGGAGTGCAGTGGCGCGATCTCGGCTCACTGCAAGCTCCGCTGCCTCCCAGGTTCACGCCATTCTCCTGCCTCAGCCTCCCTAGAAGCTGGAACTACAGGCGCCTGCCACCACGCCCGGCTAATTTTTCTGTATTTTTAGTAGAGACGAGGTTTCACCGTGCTCACCAGGATGGTCTCGATCTCCTGACCTCATGATCCGTCCACCTCAGCCTCCCAAAGTACTGGGATTACAGGCGTGAGCCACCGTGCCCGGCCCTAAGTATATACTTCTATAAATATGTATTTGTGCATGTATAATATACATATATATGTCTGCTTATATCAAACCAGAAAAGCTGTGGGTTGCATTGACTTAGGTTCTTATAATGTCTAGCCTCTGCCATTTTATGACCTTTGGCAACCTAATTATGCTCTCTGAGAAGAAACCAAATGTATATAATGGAATAAACTAATAATTACTATACCAGTATTTCTCTATTCAAGAGTATATTGAAGAATTTATGTATATCATATCATGAATGGCTATGCTTACTTGGAACACAGCCAAAACATTTTAGGATACAACTTAAACTAATAATCTCTATATGTGATGATAATAGCGAAGATTAGAACAGAATGATAACAAATTGTGTTTATTATTTCACATAAAACCAATATGAATATGTAACATTTAAAAATGTCAGAAACACCTATCCAGATCAACTGGGAACCAAAAGCCAAACGGAACATACTTAATAGGAACTGCCTTTGGCTCAGTATATGCCACTAGCTTCAACATCACATTTAAACAGGAGGTAGAATATTAGATTTATAGAAGGGGCATTTTGAAATTACACTTCAAAGACCTATAGACTACGGAAGGGACAAATTTACTCAACCTTTTAGATTATTAGATTAGTATTTTTATTATGTTAATATTTTCATAGATCAATATATTTATTATATTAATTTATAGATTATATAATCTATAATTATATATAATCTATTACATAATTATATAGATATAACCTATTATAGATTTATATAGATTATATAATTATATAGATTTATAGATTAATTTTCTAGATTACTGTTAATAGTAATCTATATTTTATAGATTAATTTTCTAGATTATTTTATAATTAATAATAATTTTATAGATTAATTATTAAAGAAAACTCATAAATGCTAGGAGTCTTACACAACTATGGCGGTATCACTGCAGCACAAAGCACACAGTTCAGAAATTACAGTGGTGCCACTGCATGGTCACCAGTAACCAGAAAATGAAGTTGGAATGTATATAATCCACTCCAACTGCATAAGCAGTATGAGGCTAGGTAATTTCATCATGAAAATTCAGCTGCAAAATTAAATTATCATGTTTTCCTTAGGCCCTATATATTAAGTGAAAGGTAAAAGTTTAAAACATTTCAAGTCAGTTTCTTTTACTGATGTTCACTGTCCTGAGACTATAAGATATGATAATGATATATGAATAAATTTCTGAAAACAGAATAACTGACATTTGTACAGCACATTACCATCCAGCAAATTATTTTTTAAGTTAAATGATGTGTAATGTTTTCTTTCTTCTTCAAAATAATCCTGTGAAGTATGGATAATAAAATAATGCCCAATTAACATGTAAAGAATCTGAATTCAGAGATACTTGTTAGCTCTGGATTATCAGGTAGTCAAAGGGTTGTAAGGCATGACTGAAACCCACCTATTGCAGCTTCAAATTTAGCACATTTTCTACTATAGGCAGGCTACTCAAGTCTCAAAAAAGTAGAAATAGGCTGCTGGAGCATGGTATTTTAAAAAATGTGTTTATCTCCAGAGATAGAGAACCAAAGTATTCACCTTACAGAAAAAGAAATAAACTCAGAATATCTACATAAACTTGGGTTTCTTAGCTATTTTACAGCTAGTATAACCTACTATAAAAAAATCCAAATATTGTAGAGACTTAATGACTAAATGTATCCTACACATTACACATTTTTATGAAAGAATCTTATATATTTCAATTTAGAATTTCTGAACCTCTCCCTACCATTCCAGAAATATAAAAATATATATAGTATAAAGACATTACCTTAAAGCCTATTTAATAAAATAACTGAAATTATACTTACAAAAACTTTATCTCCAACTACATTTTCCAGATTTAACTGCCTCGTGATTTCCTTTAGGGCAATTTTGTCATTGATCTGCAGCAGTCCTAAAATAAAGTCCATTTAAAAGTATTTAATTAAAACGAAACATGTATTTGATATAGCAGGTTGTTTTCCAGTTAAGTAAATCTTCCCAGTCAAAGCCTGTTAGTTCACATCACTTTCTTTTTAAAACTTAGCAATAAAGACATTCTGTAGAATCAAAAAATAATCCTCCTTGGGATTAGAATGATTTAAAAAAAAAAGAAAAAAACCAGAGTACTTCTGAGACTCCTTCATTATTAGTATTTTAATTTCTAAAAATACTGCATATGGTGTGCTAAGTAAAACATGGATCTAGTTTTCAAAATCCATTAAAATGAATTTGAAATATACAAATGAATTCAGTTTCATCATATAAAAACCCCACAAAGTTTATGTAATCTCCAATGGCAAAATAATGGAATACTTACCATTTAAGTGAACTTGTAATACATTTTCACTCACTTCTTCTATTTCCATGAGTTCTTTCAAAGCATGATTTATTAACTAAATATGAAAAGTTTATGAGATAATAATAGGTAAAAGATAAAAAAAGTCCATATTCTTTTTTAAACTACAAGCGGTAAGAAGAGAATATAAATAAATTGACCTCTTTAACAAATAAGTTTTCAAATTCTTTACAGATAAAAGGTTTAACTAGAACATCTCATATCTGACTCTTTTTAAGAAACAAGAGCCAGGACTGATACAATATTCTCTCAATCACCTACCCAAACTTTTAATACAAATTTAGAAACAACCAAGTTTTAAAACAAATATATCTCTATATGTCACATTAAACATGTGACATGGCCCTTATAAACTTCATGTCTCAGTTAGTACATTACACATCTCTCTGACAATTACTAAATATCATTGTAATCAGTTAAAAGCCTATTGAATTAAAGGTTTCTATGCAGCATACTTTTTTTTATAACACTGTACTGCTCTCGTACTGTGATATCATATATATCTCTTCATATTACCAATGCATTCATTTGTTTAAAGAATTTGAAAGTGAACAGAATTAAGAAAAGCCAAAAATCTTTTTAAAGAGTAAAGATGGATTGTTCCTTCCAATATTAAAATATAGGTACTATCATAAAATAAGTGAACTGGGAAAAGCAGTTGTATATACAAAATATTAGTAGAGATGGCATTAAAACTTAGGACAAAAAGGATTACTCAACAAAGGCACTGGGACAACTGGTAAACTATTTTCCAAAACAAAATACTATTTGTATTTGCAATATGCTACTTATTTGTCATTGCAATACCTTATCCAAAAGGAAAAAAGCAAATATGATCCTCATTTTAAATTATATATGTTTCACAACAAGATACCAAAAATAAAAAAATTTTCCTGGTATACCTGCATGGTTTTTAAAGCATAAGGAATTCTAGGTCCTCTGAAAAGGAGACAATCTCAAGATATCACCTGTCATACTGTAATAGCCCAACTGAGAAGTGACATTTAATGAGAAGTAACATTGAAGGACTGTATAGAGGTACTTCTTCACCTCTGGATCAGGTCAGACACTATAATAAGAGTACATCCCCAGATGATATACGGTTGGTCTCTCAAAACAGTGCTTTCAGCAACCTTTTTTTTTTTTTTTTTTTTTTTAAGCAATCCATGGTATTTTCTTTCCTCCATCTCTTGATATTTTGCTTAATATATTTTTTCCTAGGTTATGTTTTATGTTTTGATGAATTATTCAAAATTTCAAATCCTTTGCTAAAATGAATAGGGATTTTAATAATATCTTCCATTTTATATATGTATAAGGAGAGTTGTAACAGGTTTACAGCTTTCTTTCCACTCAACTTACTTTAAACACCAACTTATGCTTTGCTTGGATCAGCCCACTAATATTTTATGGGTTGTGTGTATGGTTTGAAATGATAAATATATTAGCAAGTGATCTTCAAACAATGTTACTTCTAATCTGGGTATTGCTAAAATTTACTGTGTAGTTTAGGCAATCAACCATTTAAGTTAGCTTTTTTCTTGAATATGTCGTCATCATTTCAAATATTTAAACTACATTATACACTAAAAATATTTAGTTGGTTATTAATGTCACACTGACCAACATAACCAAATTTGGTAATCTCCTTTCTACATTCTTTGTGCCTAAAATTTAATATTACAAACATACCAGGATAATTTTCTTAGATCTCCCCACATTCAGTAATTTTTATGCTCACCAATGATTATACTATTTCTAAATATTATAATAAACACAGGTTTCACCAATATGCAACTAGGAGAAATATCCTATTTAACCATCTAGGAAATCTGTCTACAGTAAATTCCATGTGTAAGAGCATTTCCTAAGGGTCGGTACAGTGGCTCACACCTGTAATCTGAGTGCTTTGGGAGGCAGAGGCAGGAGGACTGCCTGAGCCCAGGAGGTTGAGGCTTCAGTGAGCTATGATTGAGCCACTGGGCTCCAGCATGGGTGACGGAGTGAGAGCCTGTCTCTTAAAATCAAAAGGTATTTTCTAGGGCTCAATCTGTCACTTGAAGCTATATCAATTTTTTAAAAATAAAATGCTTGTAATATTATAAGCCACACTATTGCCTTTTTCAATTAACTATAGAGTTAGAATTTTTGTATTTCAGACAGTTTGGCCAAGTATAGTGTTTTAAATATACTATAATCTCGGGGTTAGGATTAGGGTTTAAAACAAACATAAGACTACAGGTCTTATGTTTTAAAATTTGAATTTGTATAATTATACTAATGAGGTTAGGCACAGTGGCTCATGCCTGTAATCTCGGCATTTTGGGAGGCCAAGGTGGGTGGATCACTTGAGCCCAGCAGTTCCAGACCAACCTGGAAAACATGGTGAAACCCTGTCTCACTAAACATAAAAAACTTATTAGCTGGGTGTGGTGGCACATGCCTGTCCCAGCTACTCAGGAGGCAGAGGTGGGAGGATCGCTTGAGCCTGGGAGGAGGAGGTTGCAGTGAGCCTAGGTCGTGCCACTGCACTCCAGCCTGGGCAACAGAGTGAGACCCTGTCAAAAAAAAAAATAAAGAAAGAAAGAAAAGAAAAAAATAAAAGAAAAAGAAAAAAATTATACCATTGACAGTTCTTGTATAAAAATAAATTGTATCTGACAATTTATTCAATCCATATTTTCTCTCAGGATACTCCCACACATACAACAAATTACAAAAGTACCAGAAGTCAAACAATGTTCATCTCTTCAACCTGCCAACATCAGAGTACATCAGGAATACATGAAACTATATCAAAATGGAATGCCAGGCAAGGGACTCTTCCAGATTCCACTGTAGTGAAACCCAATAAATGACTGCAAAACACCATAATAGGGCTCTGGTTTAAGAAGCAAAAAGTAGATAAACTGTCAGTGTGGCCAAGAATAACCAATCCATTTTTTTAAACTGATAAATACTATGACTTAATGCTTTCGCCTTTAAATTTCAGTACATTGATTAAACCTATAGGGGTTTATGAAAAGGTGCTGTAACATGGAAGGAAGGGAACAACAAGCAGATTAAAAAGCTTAAGCGCAGATTTAAAATACTAAGCAAGATGGCTGATTAGACACTCCTGGTGCTCGTACCCCGCACAAGAAAGGACCACAGCAATGAATGAACAGCTAAGATTTGACTGGCATGTTGAAGGGAGAGTGCTGGAGTACAGCAGGGAAGGGGAAACACACGTGTAGTGACTGAAAATCCAGGAGGGTAGTGTGCAGGCACCTGGCCTCTGCAGCTACATCTCCTGCACCCGGATCAAATCTTCCCGTAGTCAGGAGGGACTTCCCATTTTGGGGAAAAGGTAAGCAGAAGATCCCCACCAGTCCTCACTGACACCATAAACACCTACAGTCCTTACCACAGGAGAATGCCATAGTCCTAGCAAGCCCTAAGTCAAGGTGGAGAGCTGCTGGGAATTCAAGCAGTTGCATTGCTCCAGATCATGAGAATAAAGTACGCACTCTCCATCCCTCACCCACCTGTAGGCCAACCTGCTGCAGCATGGCACTGTTGAGGCCAAAGCCACTTCTGTTGTGCGCCCTGCTCCGCGGGCCAGTAGCCACTGCACCTTTCCAGTACTAGGGGTCCATCTTCATTCCACCAAGCCCACATAGGTGGTTGAATACCACAACTCTAGCTGCATGGAGACTGAGCCTATAATTGGTTATGACTCTGGTCCTACACAGCAGGGAAACTAACCTCTTGCTGCCACACTTCCGGCCAGAGGACCAATCTGGCAGTCCCACCCAGGACAAACTCTTGCTTGAGCTGACCAAACCAGTGTGGAGCTCTCTCTCAAGAAGGACAGGCCCCCGAGCATCCAAGCAGCTGATACACCCCTTGTGCTCGTAGAGTGGCTATGCACCCATACTCAGAACCTGAGAAACAGCCCCACAATACCCTGCGCCCCTCACTCCTGCAGACATACCTCTGGCTTGCCCAGTGGTCCTGTGCCCACAATCAGGGCCTGAAAAATAGACCAGAAGGTTACCCCTGGCAGGCATGCCTCCAGCCCAGCCGAGCAGCCGTGAGCCATGACCTGTACCTGAGAGACAGCCCCGTGGGCCACCCATGGTGAATACACCTCCCAAAGGGTGGCCAGGCATCCTTGTGAACACATACTAGGCCTGAGAAGTAGCCCTTCAGGCCATTCTTGAGCCTGCCAAGCAGTCTTATACTCACCTCCCAAACCTGACAAACAGCACAGCCTTCCTATAACCCATCAGACATGCCCCAGGACCAGCCAACCAATCGTGTGCCCACGTCCCTAACCTGAGAAGTACACTAGCCAACTGCCCCTAACAGACACATTACCCTGGCTGGCTGAGCAGCATTACACCCTAGGTCTACAAATCAGCCTTGAGGGTTGCCTCTGGCAGACACTCTTTTGGGCCAGTCAAGCAGCCCTGCTCCTACTTCCCAGGTCTACAAAATGGTCCAGTGGGCCATCGCTGCTGAAAAGTTCCCAGGCCAGCCAAGCAGCAGTGTCACAGGCCTGAGAAACAGCCTCACGGGATGCTCCTAGTGGGCATGCCCATAAGCCAGCTGAATAGCCTTGTGACTGCATCCTGAACCTGAGAAACAATCCTGTGGAACCCCTCAGCAGATATGGCCCCAAGCCATTCGAGGAACTGTATCCCTACACCTCTGTTGGGATCAAGCATCCTTGTACCTGGATCCCAGGCATCTCCTGGGCCTGAGAAACAAACCAGTGAGTTGCTACTGGCAAAATTCACCAAGGCCGGCTGAGCAACTGCATGACTATGCTCCTGGCCACATTAATAGCCCCATCTGCCAGTGTGTCAGATCCCAAGGTGGTTGACCCACCATATGCATGCACATGCCCCTAAACTGAGAATCAGCCCAGCAAACCCACCCCTTGCAAAGCTGTACAGCTACCACCAGAAACTCTCAGCCTAGGCCACTGAGACACTTGTAAATGACACTAGTGTGGATTACAGCTAAAAAAAACTACACAAAGACCACATG